ATATTTTAGCTACTTTTTAAAATATTTTTAAATACCGGGTCCCTGCCACCCGGAACGGTATTTAAATATAGCAAATCACGTCACAACTGTTAATATGGCAAATGCTTTAGGTGCAGGTGCACAGCCTAATATAAAGTCATGATATGAGAGAATTTCCGATTTTCAATCCGATTGTCATCTGCCATCATCATCTTCACATATTAAGACATACTTTTCTAATATTTTAAACGAATTTGAACACATTTTTCGTACCGCTTTACCAATGAATGGAAGACATTTATGAAACTGCCATTGCTTAAGTGATACAAATGCTGCTGGAGTACCACTCTAAACCTTATCCAATGAGTAAAAACATTTTCTTCCAACCCTCCTTTTCAACTTGGAGAAAAGGAAGAAAATCACACGGAGCCATATCTAGACTGCAACGTGCATATGGTAGCTGCTCAAGGTCAATAATAGTGAGAATATCTTTGTGGTATTCTTTGTTCCACTTTGATTTCTTTCATGTTCTGCATTTCAGCAGCCATCTTGGAGCACAAATGATACCAGAATTAGGGTTGCCTGTCTGATGTGATTTTCTTTGAATATGTGACATTATAATTAAAACACATTTAATTGTTTGCCAAGTAACAAAGGAAGTAAACTAACATGGTTTAACATTCAAAATTCAAAGAATGATAGTGGTCAAGATTTGCGAAACAAGTCAAATGGCGGCAACATTTAAGGCTGAAAGTTGCCATGTGTGAATACCGTTCCGGGTGGCAGGGTCCCTATATTAAAAACTATCTAGAATACTACATAAAATATATCATTTCTCCATGAAATTAATACACAAAGTAGTTAAGTTGCTGGTCTTTATTATTGGAAAGTTTAAAGTAATTTTATCAAAAACCAACAAGATTAGAGCAGGGCGTCCAAGACTTTTGGATCACCCCTCGTAAAAGATAATATATCTGTGTATTTAGAAAACATAGTCAAGCAAACATAGCAGCTTATGTTATGATAAACACCTTAGATTATTATTAAACTGTACTTAACTCTACAATAGATTTACTCTGATTTTTTTCATTTCAATGAATACTTGAAAAACACTCATCTTTTAAACGTACCTTGTTTGACCTGTATGGGAGTCTCTAATTTAACATCAATCATTTCCACCAATGTTAATATCCATAGACTGTAACAAGGCATTAACATGCAAAATGTCACCAACTGCCTTTTTTACAGATACCGAACACCAACCACCGAACACCACAAAAAAAGTTGGAGACCATAACAATATGACACCACTTTTGATGGTGACATAAAATAACAAATAGCAAATTGTTACAAAATGTTACAAGTCCACATATTTGTTGCCATGGTAAAAAATATAGGCAGAAATGTGTCGGAACTCATATGTTTGAAGACATTTGAAGTCATTTAATACAGCATTTAAGTTATTGGAAGTTGTGACAAATGTTACAGTTTTTTGTTACAGATGCTGAACACCGGACATAAAGGAAATTGTTCAGATTTGAGAAATAATTACGTAATCAAGGACTTTTAATGCTTAGTAATTTTGGGTCTAACCTTTTTGAATCAATATTATGAGGATATACTATGTAACGCTCATATCAACTAAATCAACATATCCCCAATAATAAACTTTCACAAGCTCTGCAAAGGATGATGTCATCTGTGAAGTCATCTTTGTATGTAAATATATGACTGACATCAAATGTAAAGGGTGATGCCAACATCAATCCATTGTAAAACTTTTTGATTAAATAAATCTAGACAATGATGACATCTATGACATGAGTTCACTCCATCTCTGACATCACTCAATAAATTGTTAAAATGTACACAGATATAACAACCTAACCTGTTAACTATATTAGTGTACTGTAGATAACAGTACAGCAGAATCTGCTTTTTGAATTACTAAAATTTAGGGATATGTAATTTAAATTCTTATTTAATCAAAATAATTTGGACTGTGTAATTTCTTTTATAGTGTTCATAGTTTTCATCTTGCAAATACTATATCTAGTATACTAACCTGTTTTTAAAATCTGTTCACATTGAGAGTTATTCATTAATTAAAACATGTCATTAGAAGATCAACAAGTGATTAACAAGACACATACAAAAGTGTAACCATTTCTTAGAGATGACAAACACAGAACCTGAATGTTGATTACACAAAATGATGGCTTTTACACTAAACTTCATACAACATGAAACTGAAAAATGCTTTTGTATGCATTCTCTTTTAAAGGTTTTAATGTAATATAAAGGACATGTGTAAAATATGGGTACTTAAAAATTAATTAGAACAACAATGCAAAATCCTTCCTGGTCAAATGCTTCATTTTCATAATTTTAAAGTAACATTAAAATAAGTTAATAAATTAATTCCCATTAACCTCTTGAATCCCAGGCTCTAAAATCTGTTGAAACCAGAGATTTTTTCATTTTTGCCACCTTTTGACATTATACGACATACCTTTAGAACTTCAGATGCTCAATTTAGTAAAATTAGACAGCAGAGATCATTTCTACACATTTTAAAACAATTTTTGTGTAAATTGGATGAAAATTGTTCAAATAAGAGCAATTTAAGTGAAAATTTTTTACATTTCTTGTCACTCTGGGTTTCAAAGTCATTTCTGGGGTGACAAGAAATCTCGTCACTCCAGGTAGTCAAGAGGTTAAACAGACAAATTAAGTTTTAATATTCAAGGCTTATCAATATCGATATACCTACAGTGTATACTTCCAACAATCTTATATACAGCAAAACAGTGAACAAACGCAAAAATATTTAATATTTTCCATTGTTTCTACAAGCATTTATTGGTATTTATACTACACGTCCAATTCTACCCAATACTGCCCTATACTGTACATATACTCATTGGATTATTATGACATCAAAAATAGATCACATATAAACAACCATCTTTGTCCTGATTGGAACATTTCTGAAGATCTGATATACAGGTAGTTCTATTCCATTTAATATAAACTAGGAATAAAAATCTAAGTATACATTTGAATGAAAATTCAAAATCTCAAAATCAAAACCCTATGAAAGATATATAATGAAAGAAGTTTAGCCTTTTAATAATCATTGCAGAATATATTTTAGAGATCCCATTTTTTGACAAATAATACCCATACAACATCAAAAAACAAATTCCAGTTTTTAAGCAGATATATACAGCACAATAAAAACTGTGTAAAATATGGCACCATTGGAAAGCTAGAAAGATTTCAAACATCCATTCATATGATCTCTAGAAAGGCTATTGTTCAATCAAGAATCAAAGATGGTCTTATTTACATACATGCAAACACTTTACATATGAACATGTACAGTGGTTCATATACAACATGTACAGTGGTGCATATACAACATGTACAGTGGTGCATATACAACATGTACAGTGGTACATATGAACATGTACAGTGGTACATATGAACATGTACAGTGGTGGCATCTTGAAGTTGATCAGTTACAGGTTATCATATACTTGTCTACTTCATAATATAATCATACTAAAATAATACTGTACATCATTTTCATTAACTTGAAATTATTCACACATAAAATGCGAAATGTCCCCTGCCTTATTACTTAGTATATAATGTATGAATTTCTAGGGCAGAATGAGCGGCAAAGACAATAGCTATGGAAGTGTCAGAATCAGAACTAATCCAAATCAGGAGCTGGAGTTATTGCGAGTGCTGGGTTCTTCATTAAGCCACATTGAAGGAGAACTTCTGGTAGAAATTAATCAGGAAGGAACTCTATTTCACTTCATCATTTTAGCTTGCATTAAAGCGCTCAATTCATTAAATAAAATAAATGTAATTAAACATTAGTGGAAAGAAAATTATTTTGTTAGATTGGGGATCGGAAAAATAAAAGCAGTAAACAATTTGCATAATGTAAAATGGAGTCCTCCTGTTATATTTGCCATGCAAACACAGATGTAGACATTGGCACAGCTAACTGCTTTCATCTACCAATAATGAGTAAATTGGATAGGATGAGAACACAAGCAAACGTGTGGTGTGCACCATACAAGAAGTCAATACAACAAATTAAACTGCCATTGGATGAACTTCAAATAAAGCTAGTGCTGAGTTAGTTCATAAAACAAATACAATATCATTACCAAATTAATAATGAGATAAATGCTCTTTCTACAAAGATGGATAAATTTACTTCTTGTATAGTAAAAAAAGGTAACTATCAAAAACATGCAATTTGGGTCAGCATCTACTAGATTGCTAGTACCCAAGTTGAGTGTTGGCTAAAGCAAGTACATTTACATACAGCATTCATCTTCAAAAACAGAAGACAAAAGAGTGAATTATACTAGATTAACCTAAAATATTAGGACTATATAAATAGAAATAGTACAGGGTGGATCTAAATAACTGTCCAAACATTTTTCGAATCACTATAAGTACCTTGACAGTGATCGTAAATAATATATTATTATAAACAACATATATTTCTCTTTTTGTTAGGAATTCTAATGGTTAATACCATTTATTATACATGCTCCATAACATGAATTAAGCTTTAATGCCAAAAATGTGGACAGTTTCTAGTCTCACCCTTTAAGTGCTAAGAATATATTCCAAGACTGATGCGTTCAGTTCATGACTTGGATGTGAAAAATTACCAACTTGTATAGGTGATTGAAAATGATTGAAATACAATTCATTTTAAAGATAATGAAGAGCCATCTTTATCACTAATCACAAGTACCATACAGAGTACATGGAGAAAATATGAGACCTTACAGTGAAGCAGGCCAATTCAACTAATTCAATATACAAGGGTTGCAAAGGGTATTAAGCAAAATGCGTTACTGAAGATGAACAAAATGGCCATACTCTATATACATGTAGTTATGGATGAGTATGAAGCATTACTGAAAATGAACATAGATATCCCATGTTGTATGGTACAAGGATTTTTCTGATTGGTCATATAAAATCTAGCAATAAACTAATAAATAATTTAAATTACCAACAAAGATAGCTGATTGAGGAACTGCTACATAGGCTAATCTGAAAATATGACCTTTAAATAGAAATTCCCCTTCCCATGATCTGTTAGTCTATGAATATATCTTTCTCAACAAATACCATGAACAATTAAATTCATTCTTCAAATCTGTCAAGTCAATATTGCTAAGAGTCAGTTATATACAGCAGCTAACTGAGCCTACACCCAGAATGAAGCAAGGAACAAAAGTTTGTTGAAAAATATAAAATTGCTCTCCGTCATGAAAGATGCAACTTCTTGTAAACAGCTTCACGTAATGCATAACAAATTATTTCAAATGCCAAATCTTTAAAGTATTTGGCTTTTTATGAGAAGTATAAAGGACAGCTTTCATAAATGACCATATGTTCCCAATTTATAGAAAATTTAAAAATAAATGAAATAAAACATGCCATAAAAGGAAATATATGGAAATCCAAACCCAATCTTTTCAATATAAAATCGTATTTGACAAGTCCTGTATTTTATTGCACCTTGCATGAAACATCAGCCGCCAAAACCATTGGCCAGGATTATCATGTAAACTTAACTTGGCATTATTTCCTTCTTGATTTTCGAAACAAAACAGGGCCATTGTCAGTAACATTACACACACAGGACACATATCACCTTATGGAGAACACCACAAAAATGCAAAAATACAATGACTTGTGAGGAAATTAGTAATTATCCTGGTATAATTGTTTATACTTTTTCTTCAACATACTCCCTTTATCAGTATCATTGTTCCCTAAGGCCAAGAAGCATAGTTGTGTTTCTGATTGTTTTTGGGGCAGATGACTTAAGCAGGTACCTGTTAAATTAGCACAGTATAGCAGAGATATTTTGAACATGCTTATTCAGACATTTCAGAAACAACACACCATTGCTATGACGATACCATATCAATCCATCCGAAAGCTAGGTCAGATATTCAACATAACAAAACAAAAATTAAACAAAATACAGCTGGAGAACACTTAGATCAGTGTGCAGGTAATAAAAAAAAAACTGGTGACCAGAAACAAGTATATTTTTTCTTGGCCCTAAGTCTTCATATTCCTACTCATCTTACACCTGACATATGTACAAGATTAATGCTTTTGTATCATACCAAACTCCTAAATCTTGGTCTTAGAACTGCTCAATCAGAGGGTCAACTCATTCATATCAAAACATTCAAATCTGTCCTTACAATACATGCAGAACATCCAATATCATAATATCTTAATTAGCATGTTGCTAAAACTTCCATGATTAATTCAATTAATATCGTACAGCCAATTTTACATATATAAAAATAGATATGGACAGCTCAGAGAGTTGCATCCTCACTCTCTGTTTATGCATACATTATTATTATACTAGCCTAAAATCACAACCAAGTACAACATTTCCTGGATCTGACATTTAAGGCATTCCAATATTCAACATTTCACATTCTGTATATCCGCTAGTATTATATTCTGCTACTGCTATAATGTTAATTAAAAATTGACTATTCTATTTTCAAATAGCCAATATCTAACCATCCATCTAGTGCACCTAATATTAAATGTTGTTGATCTAAAGTAGCATATTGGCCAATTAACGAGAATGAGGTCTTGCAGGGTGAATCACAGAATAATATACACAATTTACCACTTGATTCATTGCATACTATATCATAGAATTCAAGATAACTCTAAAATTGAGTTATCCAAAAATTTGCACTGTTGTGGTACATGAAGTAAATAGAAACAAATAATTTAATATACACCAGGAAATGCTGTATCTTGGTTTTAGATGGAATACATCCATCAGTCTACACCTTGTACAAGTTAGAAAGAAGCTGTTTTTGTCATATGTGATAATTGCATGAGCTTCATGTTTTATACAAAACTACCATCTCAATACATACTGGGCACTGAGCTAGGTGATAATCATCAAATTATTGCATTCATTTAAGCCCTATGTATAAGGTACATCAGATATTGCAATAATATGGAACCATGAATGTAAAGTTAGATGAGACTAGCTGACATATAGATTGGGTACCTATGGTTACTTATATCTCTTTTCATGGTGCAACAATAAGCACTCACCCATGTAAGATAATTTCTTGTGAATTTTACTCTTTACCAGCTGATTATTTCAGATGTCTAGTTAAATAACCATAACCATGACAACTGTAATTAAGTTTTGACCAGTAGGCCTAGACACACCAAGTCGGTGAATTAATTAAGTTATACTGCGAAATAATCTTAGCAGGTTGGGGCACAATTGCCATTATTCACCAAATCAGACCCTTGGCAAGAGGAATCCTGACCCATACCAGCCTGAATCTGTCCACCTCTATACATTAAGAGAACGTTTGGCAATTAAATCATGCTAGCTTTAAACAAATGGTAGGTTCATGCAATATAATAATCACAAACATAATTTTTGTATACATAAAATTTATACATTGCCTAGCTTCATTCCCGCTATAATACACCATGCACAATGTTGTAACAGTTGTTACTAGTTAGAATTGCCATTCTGCCCGTAGGGCCACTCTGTACAATATAGTACAAGACTTAAATGTAGAGCACAATGCATTGAATCACAAAATACTCCTGGTCTTTGTACATATAACATATAAAAATAGAAGACTGTCCATGAGCAGACATTCTGACGCCCACCAGACATTCTGACACCCAGCTGACATCCCAAATGCCCAGATAAGACACCCGCCATTAGTCTTAACTGCTATCAGTACCTTCACTACTGAAGAGCTCTCTATGAAGGGCGGGGAATTCTAAATTTGGGCTTTCTTGTTTGAAAATGTTCAACACTTCAATATGCTGCTGGCTAAGAGGAGATAATGCGGCTAGTTTTTCTAGGACAGTTTCTGCCATTGATTCCTCTCCTGGGTGGTTCTTGGCCAATTCTATCGCAAATGCTGCCACTATTCTTTCTTGTAGTTTCTCAATAACAGAGTTGTCCTTTACTCCTGGTCTTCCTGCAGACATGGAGAAAATGAATTAAAATAGAAAGAACATGGAATAGGTGGTTATTTTGCCAAAATTAAAATTTGCTAATTTTGTCTCGACCAAAATACAAGTTGACGAGAATATATGTTACTTAAAATATTGAATTAGTGCAAAGTACCAGGTATGATAAGTGATTTAAGACAGTCATATTCATATTTTTGGTTCCAGTTTCTTACATGGATGGATTTAAGACAGTCATATTTATACTTTTGGTTCCAGTTTTTAAGACATGGATGGGTTATACATTCTCAACACTCTTGTGCAAAGTCCTTATTTGGGATACATTAAAAATAAAAAACTTCAATTCTTTTATTTAATTCAATTTAGTTAGTCAATATTTTATAAAGGATAATATGGGATCAGATAAACACCGGTGATTACTGATTTTTATCCTTAACATCATTAGTTCCCTCATTTAAATGTTAATTCAAACATATCTTACCTGTTTTCACTAAGACAACAGCTGAAAGTAGCGCTATTTCAGTCTCTGTAAAGTTATAACTGGTCATATCTCGTGCAAATGTAAATATTGCCTCTTTCAGCAGTTGTTCAGACTCAGCTGGAATAACAAACAATTGTAACAATAATCTATGTCAAAAAAATGTGCTCTAAAGCTAAAATAATTGAATTCTTAATTCAGGAGGTGATAGATACAACGTTTCTAACATCCTCAATATTTGGTTCATCGTGTACTATAAAACAATTATTTCTGGCAATATAGATATGCTAGAATCATTCCATTAATTAAGTTTATTTTCTATTTGAAGCTTCAATAAGTGTAACATTTAAAGGCCTTTTAAACTGACTTGTAATCACTATGATTTACATGAGGAGGTTTTGCTCAAGTCTTCGTTAAACTCTCATTGCTCCAAGATAAATAGATATATAGCAAAACCTGTCTAATCTAAAACATCTTTCCGTACACTGCTGGGATCAGCCAAAAGAATTTGAATGGATTGGCAGGAATTAATATTTCAAGCTTTTTTAACATGCGAGTCAATGGGAGGTTTAAATTGGCACTAAAAACTGTTCAGATTACTATGACATTGAATAATAAAAATTAAACATTAAAGTAACATTTCACTTACTGAGTGTAGAGAAAGCGTCTAGTGGCAGCATGGTTGAACCAAACACAACACGGTCAGTTGATGCGTCAAACGCTCGTAGCAACCTTAGAAGTGCAATCTCAAAGCTTCCTGAAAACATAGCAAATATTTATAAAATAGTGACATGAACCTATGTTTGCGTGCTGATACACCGACAAGTTACAAAGTAAATGCACTGAAGAAATACAAAAAATGAAATAGTGTTTAGGAACTGATGCCTTTAAAGTAAAACAAATAAATCTTGAAGAAAGCAGAGAGTTTGGCAACAATGTCTCCAAATTGTTACCTCTTGTAACAAGGTAAACACAGGCAGCACAGTATTGAAGCATATCTTATCCAAACACTCAGGTTTTCCAATATAAGTGTACTTACCTGCTTTTAACAACATGATTTGATCATCTTGCAAGAAACTCATGAATCCTGGAACCATTTTAGCAAACTCTATAATCTGCTGCACTGTCATAGTGACTTTCTCTGCTATCTCTGCCCAGACTTCAGTATGGTTCTACAACACAAATGACATAATGATTTTAAGGACTGTCAATAGATGGCACAAAATTCAGGGAGTTGAAAACTATTTCAATATGTAAATACCTCTTAAAATTATCAAACACCAAAAACTTATTTTTACATTGAATCTTCTAGCATGTCTGAACAGGATTATGATGAGAAAACTTGATATTTGTTTGATAAATAATGCAAGACTTTCATAACAGCAAGTAACAGTCAACAGTAACAGTAATTTTGCAACTGTTTACTTGTTCAAATTATATTTTCCAATATTTCTGCCTGTTCTCAATTTACTTTGCCTGTTGTCAAAAACTCTAAAAATGAAATGAAATGTATATTTAAGTTTTGATAGACAAATCAATAGACCAACAAATCAATAGGACAGGGAACACATTACTGATCTGACATCTATATGAGTACTTATACAATATTAACAGTTGAAAACTATAAATATCGATCACTTGACAATTGAATGAATTTGATGCTTGATTCTATCTTATTTTCTAATCAACTTATGTCAAAAATGATGAACAAGAAACTTCTACAGGCTGAAAATCTAAATCTAAAATCTGAAGTATACTGACAAGAATCAGAAAATGTCCCCTTTGGTTCTCAATGTTTCTAGTACTTACCATAGATTTAAATCTTTCTACTGTTTCCTCAGAGACCTGCTGAGCTTTTAATTGTTCAATCTGATCTAGTGTGTATAAACATGTTCTAGTGTGGGCATCTGTTACTGCTCGAGTCAGCAGCCCTACAATGCATTTAAACATCTCTTAAATCTGAACTGCGATCATGTGACATTTTTAGAATATGCTGATCATGTATACTGGGAGGGACAAACTGTAAAACAAATGGAAATCAAAATGTGAAGTAATAAATAACAGAGCAATTAATATACAGGAACCTTTAGCTATTTTTGTTCAGGGTGACATGTATTGAACTAAAAAATCTATGATTCGTGTGGTCTTTACCAAAAGTTTCAAAAAGTTACGAATTCTGAAGTCAATTGTTTTATGACATCAATGATGGTTAAAAATTGACTCACAAATCTACCATTGGTCTCTCACGTTCATGTTTCTGGTTAACTGTGTAGTCTTACTATGAAATCTGACCATGTATGATGTAAAAATTAAAACAATTATAACGTACAATGCAGACCAAGAGCTCAAATCATACCTAGATCAATATCAGCTGCATTCACGATGGTTTGTTGGGGAACAGTAGCGTATGTTACTTCCTGGGGAGGGGCATATGCGGGGGCAGGGGTAATCATGTAGCCATTGGCATTGGCGTATGTGTACTGTGGATTGCTGGCAAATCTGAAATTATAAAATAAAGATACATGTACTATCATAAAATTAGGTTTTTGTTCTTTTATGAACATTATCAGTGTAACATTTGGAACTTTCAAATATGAGACCTTGATACAAGATTATATTAATTTTAAGCAGCATCAAAGCCCTGTATTATCCAGGAGAGAGGCTTGACATTAGTCGTAACAATTATATAAAACAAAGCAACTACTTACTGGTTATTATTTGGTGCAACACCCTCTGTGGGTGAAGCGTAGACTTGACCTTCAAAACCATTGCGTTTAATAGAGGCAGCCTCATCTTCGACTCGCTCTCTCTGCTTCTTTGACATGCGGCCAAATTTCACGGCTGAAATAGATAAAGCAGGAATGAAATTGTAAGGATCTAACATTCATTGAATATTGATTAGCAAGTATCAATACACTATACTGATGATTTAATACCTTATACACTATTTGATTGACTGTACACACTTTAAAAATGACCTTAAGCACTCAGAAATGACTGTACATACTAAACTTGACCTTATATGCAACATCAATAATCTTATGCTCTACAGGAATGAACAGGAATGTAGCACAGGAATGATTAGACACACTATACTTATGACCTTATGCACTTCACGAATGTCATGAGCGTAAGTACACTTATGACCTTATGCACTCCATGAATGAGCGCACACAGTTTACTAATGACTTGTGCTACATCAATGGCCTCATGCACTACAGGATTGACCATACGCACAGGCACACATAATGAAACTCATAAGAAAGAATAAGAGGTGATAGCAATAGAATGTAGCCTACCATCTCTCGACATGCCCAATGCGAGGCATTTCTGCAGCCTGCAGAACTGGCACCTGTTCCTATTAACACGGTCAATGATGCAGGTTTTGTTTCTGGGGCACTGGTAGTTGACTGGTCCTGACTGGCTCCTGCGGAAGAATCCCTTGCAGCCCTCACAGGTGATCACCCCATAGTGTACGCCTGAGGACTTATCCCCACATACCTTGCAGGGGATCACTTCAATCTGGGCTGAAATCAAAGGAAGGTGAAATGCATTAAATATGTTGTGTACTGGTTTGAGTTGATATTTCAACATCCGAAAACCCCCACCCTCTGCTTCAAAATAATGTTTGCCATTGATTTGTATGTGCCTCTATTGAATATAAACCCTTACAATACAAAAGACAGAAAAATTGAATTCAACAATCCTTCTTGAGCAGAGGACCTTTGCCCATAAGGCATATGCTTATAAAATTTGAACCAAATCCATCAACCAGTATTTTTGAGTTATCAACCAAACAGACAAATGAATGGACGGGTGGATGTATGGATGGCTTCTTGGTGTCCCTTAAAGGCCCACATTGCAAATGTTCAATGTTTTTGGGCAAAATAAAGACTTTTATTTGAATTCTGTAGAATGTCCAATGTATTGATAAGAACCCTATCTTTCATTTGACACCAACAACAGCTCAAACGGACCACATCAAAGCTTACAATAATTGATCAAAAAATATTTTCAATCTGTCAAGCTTTATATCAAGTTTTTATCAATGTCATTGAAAGACGGCGAAGTTGTTTGTATTACATGATACATTCATTTTTTTAGAAGTGTTGCCATCTTTTAAATCGAAAGTAATTGAAAAAATGCACTTTGTTTAGCATGTGCATGCATGTCTAATGATCCCTGAACTATTTTTTTCTTGGTTCAATATTAAAGCAAATCAAACTTTGTGTCATATTTGAGCGAGTGTGTGAGTAATATGTTTCAATGATAATTTTTTTCTTTTTATTAATTAAGTATAGTGGGGCTTTAAGTTTGGTGGGATAATTACAAAGGTGTCTTTATTGTAAGGCTTGGTAGCTCTTACTGCATATTTATAAACACATGTATTCATGGTGATACATTTAATCTAAATAGATAAAAAAACTTGGGATGGAATCTACATAGGAAGCAAAAGTAGGATAATTTTCTGTTAATTGTCTTCCTTTATTTTGCATTTGAATATGTGAATCTTATTTGATCCAAAACCTATTATATGTGGATCCTTTGATTTGAAATTTCAAAAATTAGTTACACCAGCAAATGAAACAATAGCTTAGATGTATAATTTCCCTTTAATGCAGTAGTCCTGAAAACTGATAGCTACTGATTTTAACATAGATCAAGTCCTCTTTTTAAATAAAACAAAATCTCTTAATCAGGTTCATATCAGTTTGAAACACAAAGTTCAAAGTGCAACGCAGCATTAATTCTGTCTTCTTGTATTTTGATACTAAAGATAGTAAAATGACAACCGTCTATTTCTTTTCTAAACCATAACATAAAAATCTCTACATTACAAAATTAATCTGGTGGTAGGGAATCGCAGTAAAATTATTCCTATGAGGAAACATGAATTTCATCTACCACAGGTGAACTGGCAGTATATTGCAGTAACATATCTCCAGTGCATAATTAAACTTTAGGAAACATAAATATCTATCTTACCATTAAACTGATGGTAGTGAATCTGTGAAAACATTCCCTCCATCTCTTTAGCAACCCCAGTTGTTACTATGACAATGCAAATATCTTATTTACTTCAATAATCTTCTAAAAAGGTGTTGAACAATGTATGTGTACTGCCTCAATCTGATATGCTTGAAATGTTCAAGTTGTTCCTACATTTTGAACATCATGTAATCAATCAACAATGTTTTAAGAATAGATAAGATGTAGAGTTAGAATCTGAACAATACGTGTAAGATGTACTCTAATTGTAGTTATTTGTTAAGGGCTATTACATGTCACAATGTACTCAATCAAAGCAATTCACATATCTGCTGTCATTATCGCCTGCTCTTATCACTAGCTCATTGCTATTGTCAAGGTAACTTTTGTTGCAAGATTTACAAGAGGGTAGGTATCCAGGGTGTTAGAAACAGAGGGCATGGGAGTCTAGGGCTAATAGAGGGCTTGGGTGTTTTAAATAAAGGGCAAACAAAAAGGGCTAAAGGTGATTTAAATGCAACAAGAACACAAATGTGTACAATATGTCCCCACCAATGGATTTTCATACTAAGAACCAACCCTGAAAATTTGAAATTGATCCGTCAAACAGTAAACCAGAAAACGCATAAACAAGACTTCACAGACAAAATTTTAGGATGGAAAAATCCAAAATGGCTGCCTTGACATTTGCCCAGAATGCCAAAAAACTAATCAGTTCTAGATTTTCATACTAAGAATCATCCCTGAAAATTTGAAATTGATCTACCAAACGGTTTACCTGAAAACGCGTAGACAAGACTAATTACAGACAAGATTTTAGGACGGAAAATCCAAAATGGCTGCCTTGACATATTATCCAGAATGCCAAAAAACTAATCAGTTCTAGATCTTAATACAAGGAATCATCCCTGAAAATTTGAAATTGATCTACCAAACGATTCACCTGAAAACACATAGACAAGACTTTACAGGCAAGATTTTAGGATGGAAAATCCAAAATGGCTGCCTTGACATTTACCCAGAATGCCAAAAAACTAATCAGATCTAGATTTTCATACTAAGAATCATCCCTAAAAATTTGAAATTGATCTACCAAATGGTTCACCTGAAAACGCGTAGCCAAGACTTTACAGACAAGATTTTAGGACGGAAAATCCAAAATGGCTACCTTGACATTTACCCAGAATGCCAAAAAACTAATCAGATCTAGATTTTCATACTAAGAATCATCCCTGAAAATTTGAAATTGATCTACCATAAGGTTCACCTAAAAATGTGTAGACAAGACAGACAAGATTTTAGGATGGAAAAATCCAAAATGGCCGACAATAAAAAAGTGATTATAAGTTTTTGCCAATTTCTTTTAACAAAATTATCACATATTACTATTGTTAAGAATAAGATAGGCGTCTACAACAAAGTACACCTGAAATTATTTCTAAACTACTAAATAGTTAAAGTATGAAAACTCAAAAACACCGTTCAATATGATACAAAGTATCATCGCGTGCTAACTATTCTTAAAACATTCAAAATGGCTGCCATGACTGAGCTAACAGGTCCAAAACCTAATCAGATGTAGAATGAAGTAAGTTGAACAAGATGTTAAAGTTTTAAAAGCAACAGTGTAGCCGTTTTTCTTAAAGTTTGCAGATAGGGATTTTAGCATTTGACTTCAAAATGGCCGACAGGAAGTAGGTATCGAGCTAAAAAAATTTCGTCCACATCTGTATGCACTCATAAGTTATCCCTGAAAATTTGAAGGTGATATCTGTAGCGGTTTTGGAGAAAACTGCTGGATGGACGGACGGACGGACAGACAGACAGACAACCAGACGGACGGACGTGCCTAGGCCGACAATATGGCACCACACTATGTGGTGGGGACATAATAAAAGCAGAGGGTTGTAATTATTTTTCTATATAGGGCAAACAGAGGATTATTATGTTTATTTTGAAATTGTTTCTAAAACTTTGGAAATAATTTAACACTAAATTCTACATATTCAAAATAATGTGTAGGTATAGGCCTGTAGGTATAAACATAAATCATGATCTCAAAATATTTAGTTATCAGTGGTCTTTACTTTTGGATAAAATACTAAAGATTTAATACATATTATTAGAAATTACAAATACCTTTATTTGAATTATTTGCCCATATTTGCACTTGTGGTGTGCGTGGCATCTGATCAATTGGCACATGACCTTGTACCAAGGTCACTGTATTCGCAAGATCCTCTACACCTGTAAATAACATAACATGAGTAGCTAGAAAATGGCAACTCCACAAATTAACAATTCCCAACGAAAAAATTATTCATGGATCTGAAATATTTCATGCTATAATATTTTCAATATACTTGGAAACATGGAATATATGTGAACAAGACACAGAGTGAACAGAATCGCACCCTTGAAAAGAATAGACAGTTTACGAGATAGAAAGTCCAGAATGGCTACCTTAACATTAACACATTTGTAGAATGCCCCAAAATTAATCAGTTATAAACTTTTATACCTAGAAACATCCCTGAAAATTTAAATTGAATCCCTGAAACGGTTTGGTTGGAAACCTGTATACAAGCCTCGACAGACAAGATTTTAGGATGGAAAATCCAAAATGGCCACCTTATCATTTACCCAGAATACCCAAAAACTAATCAGTTATGTACTTTTATACCTAGAAACATCCCTGAAAATTTAAATTCCTCAAACGCGTTGGCTTGAAACTGTAGACAAGCCTCGAGAAAGAGAACATTTTTGGATGGAAAATCCAAAATGGTCGCCTTAACATTTATGCCCCAAAACTAATCAGTTCTAAATGTTCATATGTAGAAACAGCCCTGAAGATTTTAGATGAATCTATCCCTAAAATGGTTTGGCTTGAAACCTGTAGACAAGATTAATTGCAACGCCCAACTGCCACCAACAGGCCCACAATAAAATTAAAAAAAAAAAAAATACTGGATGATCAGGAGCTAGAAATGGCAGAATACCAATTTGAGAAAAAAATATTGGACGAGGCGGTATAGGTATTCTGGCCATATCCAGCTCCTGATCATCCAGTATTTGTTTTATTATGGACCTTTTCAAACTGTAATGTGTGCTACGATGTACTTACATTTTTAGAACTTTTAATTTTTCTTAAAACTTGAATGACTTCCGTCTACCTAAGATACACCAAACGAAAAAAAACGTTGTCTTGTCCCAGGATTCAATTCCAATTATTTGACGCATTCTTGCAGAATTATGCATAATGTTTGAATGATAAGGGTAATTGTGATTGATTAAGTACACTGTTTTTCTTTTATTTGCCACCAGTTTCTGATGTTAGCTTTAAGTAGGACTCCGGTTATTGAGAAATGAAACTCAATCAGTAAATGTTTTTTACCTTTCTCCATAGCAAGAGTAACTGTGACGGGTGTGGGAGAAGCTGATCTTTCCACTGTGCTAGATTCGGTTGTCTCTACTGGAGATGGACAAACCATCTCAACCTTCAAGTTAGATGAGTCTACCTCAAGAGTCCCGCCCTCTGCAAATGAAAGTGTTTGATAATATGGTATTCTGATTAGAAAATATTGTATCCTTGAGACATTTTAAAGAATTTGGATTAGAAAGAAAGTGTTAAACGTTAAAAGCAATCTTTTCAAAAATAATATTATCACCCAGGAAAAATCGAGTGGAATCGAGTTAGTAAAAGACGATCTTACAAAAAAAATTCAGTACCACAAATTTTGTAACGTGTTATTTGTGTATATATAGAGGAGAGTTATATGAATTTGTATATTATGTGAAAGTGGAAGATCTTAAACTACTCAGTTCAGTTGTTTTCAACTGAATTGAATGCTCAGTAGTCAGTAGTGATGGAATTGTCAGATAAAGTTAAATTTAAATCTCCCGCAATAAATTGTGATCTAATAATTGTCAACATTTTTGATCAATGATGCATATAACATGCAGTACATAAACACTGAGATTGTATGTTTCTTTATATATGTGCAGTAACAGCATCAATTGATGAAAAGTTGAGGATAAGACATGGCTGTGATCCCTACAGGATGTATTGAAAAGATGCGGAATGGATATCCAACTCTCTCAACTTACCATCGTCAGGAGGAAAACTCAGGGAAAAGTTGGAGACATTCATTTTGATAAATGTAATCTACAGTTTATATTTTTCTGCAATTTAGGCCATTAATTGTTGAAATTCAAGAAAATGTGCCAAATAGGCCTTCATGACTCTTCAATTATTTTTCATCAGCACTTTAGTCCTTTTTTCTTTCCAATGGGAGATCTACTAGGACATGTAGATCTAATTTTTTTATTTCCTGTACAAGCTAGATATCCAGTCATTGTTCATAGACTCGCAAAATTCGTTTTGTTGCAAATGACTAGATCTTGGCCTACAATAAATGGGCCAAGTTAGAGTTTAATATGCACAGTCACTTTGTTCAAGAACTGTTCTGAAATTGATCCGTTCCAAAGCCAAATGTTCCGAACCAAACCGTTTTGAATTTTTTTTGTTCCGTGACACCTCTACAAATTTTACATAGGTGGGTTACAGTCTGAATATTTTTATTACAAATAGAGAATATAGTCTAGGCAAAGGTTTATCATGTTAACACCATTTTGTTTCAATTTTGGGTAAGTTTGATGCATGTAGTAACTTCAACACATTGTTGTTTGTTTGCTCTAATTTTCGATCTACAGGAAGCTATGTTTTTCTTCTTGCATGGATCAAGATATCATGAGATAATCATTCTTTTCAGAATCAAACATGGCAGAAAATGGAAATTCTAGTTTTTAACGAGTAAGTGTCAAAGTTACCCCATTTCTCATGTCAACATTACCCTACACATCGACGATATTCCCTTTGCCCCTTATATGTAATTCCAGATTCTGTGTAGGCTAGCCAAATGCCTGGCCAAAAGATGAGTTTAACCTCCTTACTATTCTTTCCATAGTCACAAGTTCTGAATCCATCAAAACCATTTTTCCTCGATAACATGCAACTGATACTTCACAATTAATTATAAAAAAACATAACATCAAGCGATTTAACCCAATATTATTGTGCATTATGCATACCTATATTTATAATGAAGCAGCAGCAAACTGCCGATAAACTATGTACCTATCCTATCTTTGAATGCTCCAAAATCACTCTGCTAAGTTTTTAGTGAAGTAATTTGGTATTTCATGAGTAATTAGGAGATTTGTGTAAAAAATTTGAAACTAATTTTGAAAATTAAAATCCTCTTTATGCGCATGCACGTGTCAAACTTTTAACAATCAAAATCATTATTTCAATACTAGTTTAATAACATAAACGGACAATTTTATGAATATATATAAATTATATGAATATATATGAATATATGAAAAGAATATGCTACACGTTTAGTAGCTTTAGCGAAATCTTATTATAATAATTTCGTTTCCTAGCAGCCTGGTGTTCATATAGATTTGCGTAACGACCAGAGGAACCAGAATTTCTAAGTTGAAATTGCTTGGACATTTTACTTATAGACAAAGGATTTACGATAATTAAGAACTCAAGAAATACAATTTCAACTGTATATATGAGACAGGAAAGAAGTGGGCTGGTCAAATAAAGGTTAGGTCTCCAACTAACATCATAATCTTAACATTTATGAGTGCCGAATTCTGCGACAATCTATTCAATGGTATGCGATACTAGGGACATCTTGAAGTCTTCTACTGAGGTTTCATTAACGGCGTCCTTCAATGGAGAGGACGTAAATCAAGATTGGGTGGACGTAAATTAAAAAGAATAATTACGTTTTTGGGACGCAATTTGAATTTCGTAAATCAATTCGTGAATCCACTTACCTTCAGTCTCTTTATTTCGTCAGAATCCACTAAATAATTGAAGGAAATTCTATTTCTAAAAGAAATAAAATTTTCTTTCGAAGTTTCCTTCCCGGAAGTTGATTTCTGATCGAAATAGTACGAGGCATATGATAGGACAAATAGTTATCCAATACTCGATATCCGAGCAGTATTCAGTACGAGTCTTACAATTGGCCGCTAGCTGAGGACCCGATTCAAACCATTTTCTATTGGTCAAGTGCGATCACAAGATCATTATTTAAGAATGCGCATGCGCAAGAAACTGAACCAAAAATTTGAACCTCGCGCAGATTGCCCCTAAACGAAAGTAAAATCAGTCGCTAATTGCTCGAAATACGCAAAGAAAATGTGTTTCTAATTATTGAATATAAGTTATACCATGGGCCAATTGAAAGCCCATGGTTATACCTCACAAGTGATGGTATCTGTATCATTCAATGACATACTAGACTCGCCAGAACACTGATTTAGACCAATAAATAGCAAAAGCAATACAAAATTTCATCAATCTTATTTCGGTTAGTCTAGTGTAAAAGCGTGACTTTGAATTTCCGAGAACATCTTTTCAAGGGACGCAGTTTTTTGAGGGGAAAAGCTTTTTTGAAAATCTTTAAGTCCCAGGGACGCAAACGTGGACAAACCTACTGAAAACACTGTTCTATGCTATCAGAATTGACCGACATTTCCGTTAATATCCAAACCTGTCTCCAATAGGATCTTAAGGGGATACGGGATGATATGTATGTATTCATAGGGTATCATGCTTGGATCACATTCTGTGATAATACCATGTTTTCATAGTTTAATTAGTTCCGCTTGTCCAAACACGCAGAACTATTAAATTTACGTGCTTATGCCAAAATGACGATGGAGGTTAGACCTAACCGGGGCCATAAGACATGTCAGATAAGAAACAAGGCGGCTACTACTTTTTTAAATTAGCGTAAATGCTTTTCCGATTTTTTCATTTTTCATCAATGTTGACTTCCGGGAAGGCGTTGTAGTTATCACGAAATAACGCATTGACCCTTGAACTTTACTTTGTTGACGTGTCAACCAAGCATGTCTGGTGTGAAAATTAAAAGAATATTAAGCAATGTTCTACATCCGCCAAGCTAAGTGAAGTAGTCAATATTTAAAATTACCAATTTCAAGTGAAGTACGCAACGAACGAAACTGCGTGATCTACACTCCCACTATTGGTCTGAATGAAATGCTACGTAGAAATATGAGCCGTCTGCTGTATTAGTCGATTAATAGAGTAAGACCTGTTGGTGATGCTTTATAATTTAGACCAAAACATTGAAGAACAAACGAACCTGTAAATCGTGAAAACAACGAACAAATATTCAGTTTTCACATATGTTCGGTAATTTTTCGTATTGAAACTTCCGGAACTTACAAGGAAATCATTCATTTTCTCGATCCATGATTTACCTCTTGGATGTTGTGGCAAATGCTCCATGGTTGAAGGAACAAAGGTGATATGGTTTCATTAAGATTCGGGTTCTAACCTTTAGAAGGTAAGTCAGACTCCCAAAAGTCAGCTAACTCTTATATTTAGCATGTTAGCGACGCAGTCAGGCCTTGAAAAAAGTAGTAGGTCTAATGTTGCTGGACTAAGATGCTGCAAGATGTCAGGTGTGAAGAAACTGGGGTTGAGGCTATAACATCTAACCAAGACTAAGGGTGAGTGTGCTATATAAGAAACACTATTTCCACATCAAGTTTCTCAAGTCATGTAGACATGCAAAAAAAGAAAATGATTTTTCAAAAAAATACAAAAAATCACATGGATTTTTAAAAATTTCAATGTTTATTTTGTGATATTTAGGGTGAGTGTAAGCGCAATAGAAGGAACAACGGCTGATTATCTATCTTACCTCGCTCTGTAGTAGCCATGATGGGCCAACCGCGCTAAATTCACAGTGGATACTCCACAATAGCAATCTGAAAGTTGATTTCCAAACCACAAAAGGATCAAAATAATAATGGAGGCCTCATTTGCATATTTGGGTCATTGCGCATGCGCCATCTAATGTCCCTGCAACATCAAAATTACGAACAACGAAAATATTCACATCAGACATAGATGTTCCCTTTGCATTGGATGCCTTTCTGATACTATCGGTTTAAGAACAACCAGGGGCGGATCTGGGAACCAACAAGACGGGGGGGGCAAGTTTTAGGTCAAAGAAAAAAACTTGGGCCCTTAAAACCCAAAAGTGGGCCCAAATTTTGAAATTTTGAGGCCCATTATCTTCAAAATTTGGCCTGGAATTAAAAAATAAGACCTTACAAGACCAAGTAATGACAAAAAAGGCCCACTTTTTGGGGCCTCAAGGTCTCTTTTGGGACAAAATTTTTTGAGCCCAATTTTTTTTCTGGGCCCACCAAAGGGGGGGGGGCAGCCCCCAGATCCGCCAGTGAAAACATAATAACCAATGATGATTATCAAACCATAAATACGTAAATTTAACACGCATGCCATCTATTAACGGAGTCAACTAGTCACAGACGGCCCGCACTGGTGGATCCAGAAGCAACAAGGAGCCCGGGACAAGGGGGGGGGATCTTCAGTGAGGAAAAAAATTGGGCCCCTTAAACTAAAAATTGGGGCTACATTATGAAAATTTAAGGCCAAATTATGTCAAAAAAGATCCATTTTTGAGGCCCTAAAAATTTCCTGGGCCAACTCTTGAAGTATCCGCCGGTGGGCCACGCCCGGGGTGCAGTGGTGCGCGGGAATGGGTCGATGTCTTGTGGAGTCTTGTAAGATCAGTTCATAACATTTTTGTCATAAAAGTTTTAATATGTATGACAAATCATCATTTATATGTTGTATAGGCTGAGTGTGAAAAACGCACATGCATCTTATCCTGAGAGAGGTTTAGAATAATTTCCAGATCACAAATGATCAAAAAACTCGATGTTCAATCATACAGTTACCATGAATTGGGATCGAAAGCTTTGTTGAAAATATGTACACTCCCCTTCATAAGTTTGGCAACCTTGTGTTAAAGCCCCTTTACGTTTGAATTTTTATTTACATACGGCGAGGAAAATACGTATAGTATTATAATGTAATTTGACTTTATTTCCAATGCCTTCAAATTTTCCCAATTTTTTCCTCAATTATAATAGGTCGAACATTGATGATGAATCTGACGAATTTTCGAAAATTGTCATTTCCATGTAAACCAATGTGAAATGGTAGGGTTGCCGCAAGTCATATGACAGAATATCCATCCATCCGAGTTGCTGCAAAAATACAAGTTAGGTAGTCAATTGAATTTGCTTACTTTATTTAATAAAAAAATTGATACGTTTCTTTAGGTTTAAAAAAGTTATAGACCTTCAAAGTCAAATTTTTTTTTTAATTCCTTCCATTGAAATTACACATACAAGAGGCGAAAAATGATTTTCAAAAAATGACTTTGATGCTCAGTAACTTAGTATTCATAAAGTAAACTGAACACTTACGTACAAAAAGGTTAAACGATTCAATTTTCTACTATATAAAAATATTTTTGGTGAATCTTTTAATCCTGAAATCAGATTTGCTCCGAACCAACCATTGCCCATTGGTTTACATGGAAATGACGATTTTCAAAACTTCATCAAAATCATAAATTTTCGACCTAAATTGTAATTTGAGGAAAAACTGGGAAATTTGGAGGCATTTGGAAATGAAGTCAAATTACATTTCCATCAATATTATAAGTATTTTCTTCACAGGTTATGTAAATAAAAATTCAAACGTAAAGAGGCTTTAACATGTAGTTTAATGAGGGAGCTAAGGTTGCCAAAACCTATGGAGTGGAGTGTATATATATTATTTACGGTGTGATATATAACATATGTTTAATAGACCCCTTCAGATAACATTTTTACAAGTAGAAAATTGAACAATAAACCGGCAACTTAAAAATCAAACATATTCAAAATATCCAAGTAATTTTAAATAACTACAAGTGACAATTTCCATATGAGAAGCTTAAATTGCATAATCTAGTATGAATCTTATGTTAGTCTTATTATTGTCGTTAGGGATTGTTAAAGGTGAGGTAATTTTATACTATAGTGTTGTTCAGTCGTGAACTTGAAAAGTACGTGCCATTCGACCTTATCAAGTAATTATCATGGGATGTTCATCGACTCATTTGGATGATGTGGCGGAGCAGGTCGTTTTTACAAGAAAGGATAGGTATCGATATGGTGAAATGAATTCAACAATGTTTTTCTTTTAAACCAATTATTGAAAACATTCTGTAAAAAACACGGTCGTTTATGTAATGTTGACTGATTGGCAACAATTTAATGCAAAAATTATTTATAGAACTGTTGTTGTTAACAATTTTTGTGTTTAGGGTAATTGTTTTTTGTTCCTTTCTACCAATTCTTGAGAATGAATAAAATGTCTTTCCGACCCTTGTTGGAACAAAATAGCATATGCAACATTTTCTTAGACCTCTGAATATTATAGTTATACAAAAAGGAAATTTTGGTTGATTTAACCATGATGGGCTTCATAGTTGAAAGCCCATGATTTAACAAAAAGTATGCAAAAACTTAAAACAAACCCCCCAAAATAGACAAAAATTAAGATTAACCTTTTAGTTCATTAACACTTCTTTTTTAAAATCAACCAAACTTTCCTTTGTACAATTACAATATTGAGAGACATTAAAACACGTTGTGTTTATGTCGTTTTGTTCGAATGAGGTTCGGATAGATGTTTCATTTCATTCCGAACATATGATACCAAGAACGAAAGAAGTGTCTGATGTGTTTTCTAAAACATTATAGAGAAAAGTATATATATAATATAATATATAATTCAAATTATAATGTTACCATCCAAAAAATGACCATTAAATTGACGATGTGTAAAATTTTCAGAATGTTTGATGACTGTTTTAAGAGAAACGCGTGTTCAAAAAGTTTACCATACCGATACCACTCCTTTCAATATTGTTTGCTGCGCTACATTGATCGTAGTTTCTTTTTATAAAGGAAGGTGTACATGTTTGAAGTAAGAAATATTTCAATCTGCCCTCGTTTAAGATACGTTTTAAAAAGTTGATGGAAATACGATCATCCCGAGTGTAGGACGTTCGCGCCTTTTATTAGATCATAAAAGTCTTCCGACGAATTTAGTGCAGAAGCACGATTGACATTGTCATTGCATTTGCTTGTTCATTTTCTATGCGAATAAGCGGTTTTCAGTTAAAAATTCCTTGTAAAAACGACCTGTTCCACAACATCATCCAAATTAGTCGATGACATCTTGCGATTATTACTCTTTGCATTCGTTCGACTTCACTTCTTAAAAGAGAGCTTCATAGTTTATAACTAGACTGCGCGCAGGGTACCCGACTATATTTGTTACAATTATGTTGTATGGGGTCTCACCAAAATGTGCAAAATGTTAGCCTTGCAAAAACCCTTTTAAGAGTTTTTGGTTCTTCATTCAATTTATTGCGCTATTGTACACTATTTTTTGCAATGCGAGTAAAACTTAAGCACAGGACCCAAGGAATTGTTTTTAATCCATGTATATATTTCTGTTTCTATAACTTTGTTTACATAATTTTACAATATTACAATATCTGCAAAAAGTGATACAATTTTAATTCTTGAACATTATTACAATAGTTTACAAATATAAAATACCATAAGTTATTTAACCACTCATTAAAGTAAGTATTGCTAGTGTCTTGTACCTTATAGCCAAAAATAAGAGATTTAAAACTTTTTCAAGCTTAATTCAATCTTAAAATGATCAAGTAATTTTTAAGTTGATTGATTACATTAATTATATACTCTATGACATTGGAAGAACAAATGTCTATAGTCTTCTACCTGTCCACAAATATCACACTTATCTAAGAAGTAATTCCTTGCATGGTAAAATGTAATGTAAAAGTTTGTATCTAAATTAATTGGCCACTTTTTAATTCTTGGATTGCTTTAATAGTATCCAAGTCTGTTGAAACAATAGTTGACTATTTTGAATTTTAAGATTAATCCAAAATGATTCCAAATATGTTTTAGTTGCTATTTGGTCCAACAAGATTGAGTACGTGCCTTTAGAACTTGCATGTTTATCCAAGAATCTATAATTTTTCAATTTCCTCACCTCAGACATGTTTGATATCCAATAGGGCAGGATATTTGCCCGGCTGAATGTGAAGATTTCTGCCAGGAACAGGGCATTGATGGCAACAACACTGGCGTATGGTGTAACCTAGAAATGAATGAATACGAAGACTGGCCCTGTAATGAGACAGACGGCATCATTGCGACGTGTATACCAGACCCACCAGATCAGGACTTCTACGTATGTTGCGCTGATGAATCGAGTATCGAATACTTGATAGATGATCCAAGTGGGACTCTTTCCATTTTTTGAAGCAGAGACTTTTTGAAGATAGTATTGGAAGCCCGGGATTGGAAGGAATGTCCCGGCAAATAAAAAATTAATTTGGTAATTTATGAATATATACTTGTGTAAAATAATAATAATATATTTAACATGTACAAGTATTATTTTGAGACTTTTTTGAAGAACTGTCCTAAGAAAAATAGCGAAAATGCATGAAACACAAGATGAGCGCAACCACCGTGAAAATTAATCAAAATGGCGGTCACAATCTAAATCCCATCCCTCGGGTGCTGCGTCCCTTCTTTTCTCCTTCCGATGGGTACGAGCTCTGGGGGCCTCTTTTCGGAAGATGAATTTATCCCGAGGGAATTTATCCACACTGCAAACCCATTTGAACGTTTCTCGGAACTAACCCACCCCGAATCTATTTTTGATTTGAAGCCTCGCCACCATTGTTATCCTGAACGTTCAATGTTCCATCGGTTAACATGATCGTTATCACCGTGACATTCATTGAGGACTGAATTTAATTTATATATAGATATGTAAATTCATGAAATGTAGACGAATTGAAAGGAATTGAAACAGATGTTTAAAGGGCCCTGTTCAGGTACCATACCGTACACAATAACGCCATTGGTTACCAATATTAAGTTGTATACTATCGTCAAAAACATACTTGACCTTGAATACGTAAAGCAAGAGCCTTTAGAAGTTTAAAACTGGGATGTTAGTGAGCTATTTTTCATTTAAAGTTCAGACAAAAAAGTATACTTACATCAAGCGACATATTAAACTAGAATGAATCTTGCATTAGTTCTATTATTGGCGATTGGGATCATTAAAGGTGAGATTTAGTCAAAATTGTGCACGGGGAATGAGTATGAGTTATAAGAGTATGGGTACAAGTTACACGTTTCCTATTCAGTCAAGAGCGAATAAAAGTACCGTCTCACTTTAGATAAATCGTTAACGGTATACTTAGTATAGTTAGTTGGGTGGTTACTTTTATAAATCATTTTTAAATTGTGCTCTTTTTGTATAGAGCCGTGCCATTGCACTGCGGTTAGGCATATTCATTTTTTTGCTGGCAGCATTTGTTATTTTGTATCCATTTTCAGTCTGAGGATTTGGACATCAAAACATCTATATCTTCGATTAGTTTTTCGATATAATTTATATTTTTAAGATGTTAAAGATAGTAACGGCCGTTATTCTGCATCATATCATTTACTGCCACTTTAGGCCGACATTATGTGGAGTGATCCATGAACACCTCAGGGATATGTATTTCAAATGTGTCTTATACTTAAAGGGCAGGAGGACATTTGCCCCGATGAATGCGACACTTTCTGTGAAGAACAAGGTGTGGATGGTAACCACACTGGCGTATGGTGTAACATAGAAACGAACGAAATAGACGAGTGGCCGTGCAACGACACCCAAGTCATCATTGAGACGTGTATACCGGATCCTCCGGACCAGGAACTCTATGTATGTTGTGCCAACCCGCCTCCGGAACCTTAGACTGACACCGACCTACGTTCTCACTTCCATTGTGAAAGAAATGATTGGAAACATCAAATAAAACGATAATATATGAATAGATATTGTAGTAAACTAAAGCATGTTAATTGTGTTTTATTGACCCTTAATCTGAGTAGTTGAATACTAGTCTTGCTCCAAGACTATGCCACCTCCTCCCTTATCTACATCACCAACACAACACAACTTGTAGTTGGAGGGGGGGGGGTTACGAGGGGCTTGTAGCTAGACTATCCGAATACCACCTGACTAACTTAAAGGTAGGCAAGCATAGACAAAAAGTCAATTCTCGGCCATCTTCAATTAAGAGGCCATTTTGACAATGTGTTTCTCCAGCGAACAGAGATCCTATGACCATATAACATTATCCTACAAATAGAATAGAGCAAGATTGGGATGGCCGCCAGAACGAATTTCGTACAGGCTCGTAGTTCTTGAGCACATTACGTCCGAGCGCATTAATGAAGTTCTTAAAAGACCGAAGAGAGCGTAAAAAGTTGTAACCACGCCCAATCCACTCGCACCGCGCGCACATGATATCCGCACCGAGGATTTGTGCGAGCACCGTTTGCATAGGCTAGGGTATTCATATAAAACATGATAAGAAGTTCCAACTATGTCCAATCCCAGTAAGCCAATTCGGCAACACGTTTCAAGAACGAAGTGAAAGTTTGGTGTGACAGGGCAGGCCTGTAGCCAGGATTTACCAGGGGCGGGGGCGCGGTTTTACCAAGGGGGGAGTTTTTGCCAATAGGGGAGCTTTTTGACACAATACAAAGGTCTACAGGACAACAATACGGCCCAACACTATGTGGTGGAGACATAAAAAGGATTCTTCTTATTTCTCAATATTCCTATATGAGCTTCGTTTTGGTGGTATATAACATTTATGTCTTATAGTATACTATACTGGTCCGTGTGCCAATGTTTTTTGCTTTGAAATATGTTGATATATTAGTGGTCCATATGGCATTATTATTATGCTGTCTTTATGAGTATAGCTTAATAAAATTGTTGAAATTAAGCACCTTTATTGATGAGAGTAGGCCGTTAAAATGGCTTCTTAACTTTAAGTACAAGACAACATGCGTTATTGAGCATTTAACTTGTTTTGTTTGTATTGCAAGATTATTGATGGCAAATATTTGAGATTACAGTCTCTACTGTCCTCCTGGTACTCATCCCATCTATCAATTAAAATGGACAGTACATGTTTGAAATTGCAATGACACTAGTATATTAATCTAGTAGCACCATGTAGTACTTTTAGGGCCATTTTTAAAGTGGTTCAGTTTTCCTCCACCCAACAGTTTTTTTCTTGGGCCTTCCCACTAGTTGGTACACACTGCACCATTAAAAAATAAAACAAACATTTTTTGTAATATTTCATATCTAAAGTTTATCTGATAATGTTTGAATATTTACAATAGTTACCCAGTAAAATAGGACAACTGTTTAACATGCTGCCATCTTAAATATGTCAACATCACACAACATGAATACAAACAAAGAGCGGTATCTCAAAGTGAAATAAATAATTTGTAAAAGGTATTAAGTACCATAAGTATACTATACAGAGTTTTTCATAATGACTGACCCCATCAATAGTAAATCCGAGAGCACATGGCCTAAGATCAGAGAGAGCATTATTTGTGAACTTGTGTTCGGAAGTTACTATGGTGGTTACTATTCATAATTTTAAGAGAAATATTTATTAAATTATCCTTGAAACATCATGGCCATATATCCAAAACATATACCTGTCAGTTGGGTAGAATATGGAAAATGTGGCTCTCAGATTGTATGCTCAAGGTCAAATGGGTACTTTTGGTGACATAATACCAAGTTGTAAAAATTGCTGAGCTTAATCGAAATTATTTAAATAATCCCTGGATTGAATTTAAAGAACAATACAAGTGAGCTATCTAGATTTAAACATTGATTTGGAAATGGTCATTATGAAACACCCAGTACTATTTTTTTAAAGAGCAAACAAAATTGTCACCAGAATGATGAAATATTACTGAATAAGTGAATATCAAATAATGATTACACAATTCATGAAATGTACAGTATATACAAGTAATATGTATAGAAGTCATGAACCAAATACATTTTGTTCAAATATAAATTCTAGTTGGCAACTGGATACATCAATTTTGCCAGTCATGAAATGTGCTTTAGCTTTAGCATGCAAGAATATATAATGCAAGTTTTATAACAGAACATGGTTAACTCACTTATACCAAGTTTATCATTTATAAATAAATACAAATATTTAGTGCTACATTTTTGCATGTATTGTGTGATGTAGGAATCTTACTAAAGAGATCTCTAGTCTCAAATCTACTCTACTCCAAATAAGCTAGAAAACTAGGCTAAACAATAACACTTACAATACTATAACATATAATGGCTTTACACAAAGTAAAAAATCTAAAAAATTAAATTCTACAAAATGCTATAACATGTATTTTTGTATGTATATGTTATATTATTTTTACATTATGTACAACTATCAGGAAGGTTATGTACTACAAAGTATATACTTCTTTGAGATCTCAGAAGGCCAAGAAAAACATTGTAAATTCCTTAAAGTATGTTAGTCAAGATAACACCTGTGCAAGTCAAGACAAACAGGTGTAAGCATAATCTAGAAAAAACAAGTCAAGACCCACATGATGAGTCAAGTCCCACATTTATGTAAGTCAAGACCAACACATATGTAAATGTATAAGAACACCTACATTCTAAGCTATAGGTTTTATAGTAAAGTACCTTGTATATGTGTTATGTATGGATATAAATTGATTGTATTTTCAAATTAATACTTAGGTCTCATTGATTGTGTACAGTATATATAAATATCATATGTATGTAAATCTGAAAACATTGTCAAATGTTTAGGGATGTGATCAATATTTTGAAATTGTCCCAAAATGTCACTGATTACATTTCAGATTTCACATTTAAGCCATCCCATCCTCCTTAATAGCCTATAAAAACATAACTTAACATTTGTTGTTTCTGTTTACAATTAAAAGACAGTTCCTCTTATATCAATGCACAAACAAAACAGATGGGACATTTAATCCTTTTCTCAAATATGTAATTAATAACATGAGTTGATGTACATTGATCAAATACACTGTTCTGGTCTTTAATGTAACCTAATATTTAATTATCATTGTCACATCTATTACATTTTTTGTAAAACTTTGCAAAACCATGTCCAACATCACAAACATTTTTTATAGTCCACAAGTCGACTGACAACAATATTACTTTAACACATGTGTTATTTCTGCTATTTACAGTCTAGTAAAGTCTATCAGTCTCACATCAAATGTTTACGCAACTGTATTAAAATCACTGACTTTACCATTAATTAAACTGTTGCATGATATCAGTCTATCTGTACATAGCCTCTAATGGTGATATTATAAATATAATACATAGTGTAGTTTGAACTGGAGATGATCTGTATATATCAGTATGTTCAGTTGAAGGTAAATTGAAACGAATATCAGAAAACAAAACTGGACCAAAAACAGGACTGTCTATTTATTAATAATCTAATATGTTCAACATAGCAGTACCCCTTTAGTTTAAGTTTGCTAGTAAATTCATTGCATGTGCTTAGATTGCTATTTGTACCCCTTTATATTGCTTTTAAATAGCAGTACCATTCAGAATATTCCTGAAATGAGTCCTGAATGTCATGTTAGCTACCCATTCACAAACTATTTTCATTTCATTTCTCACACAGATCTGTTTACTCGTTGCTAAGAAGAATCTCCTACAATACTTTTTAATAATAGAATAGATGCACCTTCGGAAAAATCCAAAATGGCCACCCTTTTATGATGACTTTCACAAATTATCGTATTATACATGAAGTGTGTGTGTGTGTGTATGCAAACAGGTTGCTAAGTAGATTGAATTTCTTTGAATAAACCTTAGGCTACATAGGAAGAGCTTCCACAGAACCATGTGTTGCTTTTGAGTAAGAATTTCTCCGTGTGAAACTATTCACACTGTTGCTAATAGGAATCTCCCGGATGATGTACGAGTCTGGATCCATCAATTGGTCTCCAAGTACACTAGGTGTGTTGCTATGGTAACCCAAGTCATGTGATCGTTTCTCTAAAGAGTCTGATTGGCTAGATTGAGCATCTGGCTCTCTCTGATGGGGATTGGGGAAAATATCTGGTGATTGGTTGAGATTAAATGAATCAGATTCTTCTGGCGAATGTTCAAATGGCAAGAGTCCTAAATTATCCATTTGTCTATGCTTAATCTGCGGTTTACCAAGTTGTTTAAAATCCTGTGGTGACGGTGGTTTATTATATAATTTCACGTCCTCCATTGGGTTATTTGTGATGTTCATCAAATTGGAAGGTTTATTTCCCAAAATGGATGCTGAGAAATCATCATCCTGTTTATAGAAGCTGTTTCTTGGAAATTGTCTATCAGCTTCCGCGTCGCTAGAGCATGGCTCATCATACTTCGGAGACACGTCAAGTGTCTGACTGTCTATCTCCTTCAGTAAATCATCCAAGTTACGTAACTTGACAATCCTACTTGATGATGTGGATTTTTGTTTCAAGAGAGGCTCCTCTTGTTCAATGTTATTCCGAGTGGTCCTAGGTGAGTCTAGGTGGTCCTTGCTGCTATGTGAGCTGCCATGATGGCTACTGGGCCGGGAACTATGTCGACTCCCGTTGCTGCTGAGGCGACTCCCGACACTTCTCAGAGATTGATTGTCATCCTTAAAGCCAGGGGACATTCTGCCAGGAATAATACTGTATGAATCTGGCGTATTAATAATTTCATTATCACTCTGTGATAGGTCTTCCAGTTCTGTTCGATCAACAGGGCTACTGGTACTATTTCTATTTGAATTCGATTTTGAGTCCAACACAAATGGCTTGATTGCATCAAGGGTGTTAGGTCGGACTATATCAGATGTTTTAGCAGGCATTGTTGCAAATTGTTTAGGTGCTGGTTTTGCAGGCGCACACAATCGTTTCAAATCATCAACACTTCTCGGTGTCTTCTTGAGGATTCCTTTCTCTGGTTGCATAGAGAGATCCTTGGGGTGAGAGAGGATTTCATTCTCTTGTTCACTCTCACTCGCCTCTCCATCCATCCTCCTTTTCTTCTTCCACATGTTCCTCTTGTCTTTCCTGAAATTATTCACATCCAAATAAATTGTACTTTCGTTAATACGGTGATATCTCAACCAGGTGTTAAATCCTGTTGAGGTAAATGTACTGTTTTCAACATATATTCTCACATGCATGCCCATATAGTAAACTACCATATAATGATGAATTCTGGATAGCAGCACATACACAGCTAATGTAATTTGGCACCGTTTCGGCATCGAAAAAATTCGGCGCTGTTCCGGCACCGTTTCGGCACCGAAACCTTTCGAAGAATGTAATATAATGCTTAAAATGTCACCAATATTGACAAATACAGGGTGTCTAATAAATAAGGTGAAAGATATTGTAACTTTCTTAATATTGCACCAATCCTGATGAAATTTTAAGAGTGTGTTTAGAAAATGGGTGAATATGCATAAGAAGTGTATAGCTAGAGATGGACATTATGTTGAATAGCTTATTTTCATAACAATGGGACTTAAGGACTGTTTTTATAATGTATTTGTGGTAGTAATAGACCTGGGAGTGTAAATAAAGCTATCAGAAAGAATAAATATATTTTGGAAAGTTGTGACGTAAACTAACTTGCCCCGCCTTTTTGTTGTTTCGGTTGCTATAGCAACCACAACTCTAGCCAATCAAATAGAAGATGCTTTAAATTCACAGAATAAAGGTAAAAAAGTTTGGGCTACAAACTCTGGAAATTTCATTAAGATTGGTGCAATATTAAGAAAGTTATAATATCTTTCACCTTATTTATTGGACACCCTGTATATACACTATTAAAAATAATTTTAAAATAAAAGTGTATCTTAAAATTAAAGTATATACACTCATTTCAATGGGTCAATAATAACAAATACCTACCTATATGAAGGCATGTTGCCAAATGATATTATTCTGTTGGCATTTGCTTCTTCTGAAGATTCTTCATCCTCTCGACTTTTCATACTCTCCTTCTTACCAAATAAATTCTTTTTGTCAAATATTGTCAATGGATTTTTGCGTCTGAAAGGAAAAATGACTTTATCTTAACATCTATGCAGTATATGCTTTTGAACAACCATCCTTGAATTTATAGATATTTACATATTTCTCAAACACTGATTAGATATCGGGGAACTTTTCTTTCTCCTCTACTTTATGACCTATTGAGCTAATAGTAAGTTTTTATAATTAGGTTTTGATCTTTAGTCTAACCAATATCTTCCCCTCCCGTTCTTTCCTTAGGGACATTGATATGGAGAGGAAGGGTTAGTTATAGTAGAGGTTTGCTGAGTTTCACCTATTATTTATACATACCAATAGCAAAGCATTGATATGAGGGTCCAATAGTAGTAACTAAGATATGAGAATACATGTGGAAAAGAGACTTTATACAGGATTAGTTTTACCTATTACCTTAACTTTTTTTTCTTTTTTTTATTTATCATGTTTTATTTAATACATTAAATAATATTGATACCTTAACTTACCTATAACATAACATTGAGAGCCCAAGTGCAATTACTAGGATCCCAACAACTGATCCAAGGATCACCAACAACCACATTGTGCTGATAGCTTCTTTCTGAGCCACTGTAATATGAGAATATAAATAAGAATTATAAACTGACTTCTCCAATTCTAAAAGGAAAACATGTGCCTTTTCCAAATACAGATAAAGTAAATCTTTTATTACAACTGAAATTAAATTATTCTGCAAACTTTGGTATCTGAAAAAATTGAGAACAGTAGAAGTGTCATTAGAAATTCATAATTTACCCAACATATTGTTGAAGTAACGTTCTTGAATTTCAACTTTGTTGGACGAATAAATCCATTCAGAAATGAATTTCTAATCTGGGTTATATAAGAAACATATACTTACTATCTAGGGCCCCTACAGGAGTCATATTGGTTGGCTGATGTGGAGGAACAGTTGTCATTGCTGCATCAAGGATCACCCAGTAGTTGGGTAGTGTTGCCTTGCGAGTTGGTGGCTTAGTAACAGTTGTCATGGTGATGTTCTGTACTTCCCCACATGTCATTCCAGTCCAACCAGGATCACAGAAACATTCAAGAGTGTTTGTGCAGACCTAAAAAAGAAAGATGGAAAAATAAGTGAAATGAGTTTTTGGAAATACAATGTTTTATCTGAGGTGAAGAGCCCAGATAATCAGGAAAAATAAATAGAAATAAATTATGTATGAAATGTCATTAAAAAGATATATAAAGAATATCTAATAATGCTTTCAATGGTTGCGATTTGAAAGACCCATGAAGTGAAGTTATTTCTCTCAATAGATAGAATATAGTCAAACACGAAAGTTTTGCTTACAAGTAGTTAGAATTTTCTGAGCATGGTGCAAACTATTCAATTTTCATGCTTTTCTCAAATGGGCATGAATTTTCAATTACAGTAGATGTTGTGCATGCAGGATATTCTTGATATTCTTAAAATTATCAGCTGGCTACAACAACAATGCTTATGAGATCACTAACTATGATCATTCATAGACATATAATATGATAACTCACTCCTCTCCCAGAACATGTTTCATTGTTGCTACCAGTTGGGCACTCCTCTGCTGTAAAGACCAGGGTGGCATCTGTGCAGACCTGGTTCATACAAACCATGCCCTCCCCACACTTTGTACCATCCTCCACTAGACCCTGAACACTCAGACTCTCAGATATTGGACCATTCATCACCCTAAATAAAAGAAATATGTATTGATGAAATGTTTCACATAAGTTTTTAGCGACATGTGATTTATATAATGGTATAGCATAAGGATTTCACAAGAAGATTTCAATGTATAGAATAGGCGACTTTGTGTGGATGAATAACATTGACTTACTTGCACTGGAATTCTTTACCATCAGCGCCAAATCTTGTGTCAGAGAATGAAGTATGTGACCCCCAGGCTGGGTACTTGTCACCGCCCTGACAGTGCAACATCCCACACCCCACATTCCTGAAAACAAATGTTAAGATTCCTCCTTGTATTTCTGATATAGTGGGGTTGCTTTCCAGCTACACTGATAAACAGTGCACCTATTTTGATGATTTGAACACAATGTTGTCAAAATGTTCTAGTCAAATCACTCATCATTGATCAGTATTAGGAAACACCATCACGTTCTTTCCATATGCCATTTCTGAGAAGATGGCAACGGATATTACATTTACCAGCTACTAATCAGTGAACCAGCTATCTTACTCTTGACTGAATGTCTGGCATCTGACAGTTTATCCTGATTTTGTCTTATTATCTGTACAATCTTGAAGACAATTTGTTTGTTACACCTACCGTATATCGCAGTGGATCTTTTGATTGGTTTTCATGTCAATCCCACAATGCCCCATTAGGGTTCCTGTTGGGTTGTGTCGCTCATAACATTTGACGTCAGAATTGTCAGCCTCTGCGAACAGTAAAAAGTCAATAGAAACACACATGGATTAAATTATTCAAAGGTCAGTAAGATTTTGAATTACTTTTTTAAAAGAATCACACAATGGGTTAATCATTTTGACCCATTTGTGAAAAAAGTGTTCAAACAATATTTCTATACAAAAATCAGGCTTTTGTTAGTTTTAGTCAAACAGCTTTAAGCTAGAGAGATATTGTATGAGTTATTATTATACTTGTATAGATTCCTTAAAATACCTTCTACCATTTTCTATATCTGTTGTAGCCTAAGTATACACTGAAAATGTTAACAAAAGTCAGTATAACATACCAGAACCCCAAGTCTTCTGGCACTGGTTGCTGTGTGACCTACACTGCCCTCTATAGCAGTACCCATCATTACTAGAGCACATCTGGCCATCTTGCTTGTATGAGTTCCCGGGACAATATCCACTTCTTCCATCACAGAATTCAGGCACGTCACATTCCGATGATTTTGCACGACACTCATAAGCCCGGCTAAGAACCTGAAGGTTAGATAAGAAATAATGTACTATGTTCTCATTGTCGGCATTGATGAAATAAGCAACAGCAAATCTAAGCTTTGTGTAATCAGCTAAGATAAGTTTAGTCAGAATGGGTTAAAGATAAGTTTCCTGCTATTTTGGTGATTTAGGGCATTTCACAGCTATTTTCCTCCCTTTTACAACTTATATTTGAAAATAAGTAAGTTGAACATAACAATTTGAAGTTCATTATTTGATCAAATGTATCAATTATCTACTCTTGAACCTTGGTGATGTAATCAGGCATTATACATATTAAACATATATGACAAGGCATTAATATGCAAAATGCCACCACCAGACATTTTCTACCGACACCCAATGGCAGACACCAACTGCCACCCATCAAATGCTGAACACCATCCTCAAAATAGCTGAGGACTATAACAATATGTCACCACAAAATGATATCCACTTTTAGAACTGAAAATGGTCCTTACTGTGCAATTATGGCAGCATGGACCACTACGACATGTGGAGTAGGACTTAAGAAGACAAGTGGAGGCATCACAACATGGATCTATGGAGTCACACTCCTACAAGCAAAAAGTATATTAACATTTATTTATTTATGTGACCAACTTTTTGGTACTAAGGTATGAGTAATAAAATTTATTTCAAAGCATCTTGGAGTAGCAACTAAATTAAGCAAATTTCAAAAAATGGGCAAAACAGAAATCGAACATTTGGAGATATGCTGGATGATTCCAATCCAAAAATGAACACCAATGGAGGTGATATTTATTGAAAGGATTATGAATTAAGATTCATAAAATGCAAAGTTGTTCTTTAATACTGGCATAGTTATATTGCAAGATAATTAAAAAAAACATGAATCTGAAATATGTTGAATCAGGTCTCTGAAAGATCCAGAGTAGAAATATAAGAGTTAAAGTTACATACATCTTGTGTTGTACAGTCACATTCTTCTCCCCTCTCCACTTCTCCATTACCGCACTCCTGTCTGAATGATTCCTAGAAAAGTAAAACAATAATTTATTACTTTCTGTTCTGCTAACTATTTCCAAAACAACTGATTATTTTAGAGTATGACTTTCAATTGCAAGAATGCAAAAATATGACACTAAGACTGTGGAGCTGAGACTTAATAGATGGACATTTGGTTGAACATATTTTTCAATAGACACATTCACACAGATACACTGGTCTGCTGGTGAGATGACTGATATACACTAACAATTCATTTTATTTCATTTCAGAACTTCAGGCAGTACAGTTGTTGCAGTGAAAAACCTATTTATGTATTATCCACATTACTGGAAATTTTGAAATAAATTTCTTTATATCACATTCTCTCTTATACAAGGGACATACCTTCTTAGGGGTGTCATAGAGACAGAATGTCAAGCCTGTCTCTACTGCTAGCTTCCAGTGCTCCTTACTACATGAAGAGAACATACGAGGAGAGTGGCTGCTTTCACCTCTGTAATATCAATACACAAAGTCAATCTATTTATAAGCAGAACACAACAAGTTCAATCAACAGAATCACCTTCACTACTTTCAACAAGAATAGGATATATTTCCATGGTTGCAATAAATGTTCTCATTGGATAGAAGAACAAAAAAGATGGTTGTAGATTTTAATATATACTCCTATGTTGTCTCCATTAGAATATTGTGTAATTTGAACATAAAGTTATTAAAAGTCATTTATACATAAAATTCATATCATATTCAAATTTCTTACTTGATGTTTCCAGACATAAAACATCCAGATTGATCATCACAATGACATGCCGCATCATCGTCTTGGATACCCAAATTGTGACCAATCAGATGTGTCAGAGTGCCTGCTAACTGTTGAGGTTCGTGAATATTAGAATCCTAAAAATTTAAAATTTCTAAAGTTGATTTGTCATTTTTAGATTTTGTAAATGTGCATTTTGATATCAAATTATGTCTATTGTGAATCACTTTGCAATATCTTTAGGATTAGGTGTAAACATTTGTAAACTTGATTAATTTGATGATTTCGGATTGAATAATTGCAGGATGTTGATTGGTTACCTGGCTGACAGCTACAGCTCTATCTGTACACACAGAATCTGGTATTGCCATGCCAACATCATCACCTAGGAACTCTCTACCACTGAAACACAATAAGAGAACGCTACACAAAGAACAGTATTGTTTAATTCAGAGACTAAATTAATATTTCAATGTTGTCCAAAAAATACTTCCACTGAGCCATCACTCTCCCAAACAGGCTAGTGAACAGTTATTGAATTTTTTCAAAGAAGCTCCTTTTAAAATGCTGATAATTTTAAAAGTAGGCAAGGTTTTTACTTTGGACTATTCATAATGCGTAAACTTTATCTGATTTTAAATAATGTAAAATGATTATTCATATGAGCTACTTTTGATGGACAAACAAAATGAGGGATGACAATCGGATATGGTTATTTGGAGTTATATCGCAAAACAATTCCAAAATATTTCATATGGTAAGAAGGGTATGACATTTATACTTACGTGACAAAGTGGGCTATATCATACTTTACAAGGCCAGATAGCTTCTTTTTATAGTCAAGGAAGTTGTGAAGAACCTCTCTGATCCTAGTCGTAACAGACATCTGGTTTTCCTTGTTCCACATTTCTACATATACCAGTGCTATACGTGTATTCATTTGCTTGAAGTACTGCAAACATAACATTAACATGGTCTAATTATTTTTCATTCAGAGCATTCATCTATAAGTAAGACAATTTTTGCATTCAACTGAAATCTTGTGTTTCCTCTTAGAATATCACAATGAAAATGTAATTGTTATGTAATACATAGTCGTGCATAAAGCCCTTGTGTATTTGTTAATACGTAGTTATGCATTATGCCCATGTGTAGCCCTAACCCCAAATATACTTACCATATCTAATATGTTGGCTACTTGCACTGTATATTCAAGCAGCTCTTCTTGGCTAGAATTCCTATTGGTGTACTGAAATAGAAAAGTTATAAGGTTAACCTTCTATACTTTAAGTGAAGCATATTTGTTCAGATTGATAATACATTTTTAAATCTATATTTATTCATTTAAGAAGGCATTGACATGCAAAATAAAATTGTTTTTAGGGTACAGGTTGGTACATAACTACATGAACTTCATGAAAATTCTAATATGACATTAAGATCTTACCATATCATGATCCATGACAAGAGCCAGCTTTATATGTTTAACTTCGTCAGATGTTTCACGAGTTAACTACAAATAAGCAAAACATTATGATTATATTAATAAAAGAGAACACAATCTATTACCTTAAGTCTCACTGTTTTGGACTGACATTTTTCAAATTTTGTCCAGGATTTGGGCAACCATTTTCCCAAACCAACAAAGTTTATTCCTAGCTAATTGGAGTACCTTTAACTTAACAACCTCATAACTACTAAACTGTATAATGTGAATGCAACAAATACCATTATGTTTCTTAAAGAAAGATTAAAAAGCAGACTTACCCTTTTGTTCATATTGTTTTTCTTGAGGATCCTTAAGTAATCATATTCATGTAGTTTACTGTAGGGAGCCCAGAAGCCAGTGGCAGTATTGGCTGGAGATGCATTAATAAAATTTTTTAAAGATACCACTATTTCTATCTATATAGTACCCCACACACAATTTTGTCGCCTACTTTGATGTGTTGTAGAAAAGTATCCAATAAGAGTTTTCTCATGAAATTTGGCATACATTAAATTAAAACAATTTGTGACACTCTAATTTTTTTGTTTGGGGTTATATGACTTCACCACAATTTGACTTCGGTTTCTAAATTGCTACGCATTTACAGATTTGACCTAAATTAAGCTAAATTTTGAAACAATTTGTAACAAATTGATTACAAAAAAAATTTGAATATTCTGGTCAATCCTATCCTATTAAACACCATCATAATCCACATGTAAAAGAACAACTGAACCAAACAGGAGTGACTGTTATAATGTTACAATGTTATGATGTTACCCCTGAAAGTTCACATGTTTAATCCATGTGAATCATTTCCAACAAAAGGTAAGCTGTCGGTGGCCACCTGTGAGGTATTGGGCGAATATGGCCTCCCGATAGTAGGCCAATGAAAAATTGAGTGCAAGCTCACTGTTGATAATGCCCTAAACAAAATACAACTATTTTCTTGAGATTTTTATGAGATGCAAGCTACTGGAAAGGATTTTTTATCGAGTGAGGCAGTAGGAAATGCTGTAGTGGCAGGATAGGATAGAAATCCAAGCAAGGATGTGTTTCTGTGCCCTGATAAACCCTTTTAGACTTCAAACCAACAAATCACATGATACATGCACCTGTCTATGTATTGAAAGTATTAAAAGGGGTCTTCACTCTTAAACAATAATAAAACCAAACTTACAATATTCCTGTTTAGGAGTTTAACATCTCCAAAACATAGTAACAATATCTTAAGAGAACAGACAAACCATATGTAATGCAATAAGTTTGTAATCAAAATGTAATCAAAATGATTTAAACTCTCTTTAAAGCTGCAAAACTGGAAATTTTCGTCGACTTTTGTTGAAACATGATAATTTTAAAATTGCTTGGTTTTCGTCAATATTACTTAAATTTCCAAATAAAAAAATTTGAGTGTCACAAAATGTTTCAAGTTTAAGTGTGGCGAATTTTATAAGCAAACTCTTTTTTGATATTTTTCTACAATACATCAAAGTAGGCGACAAAATTGTGTGTGGGGTACTATGTATGTAAGAAATTTTGAGAAGGATTCCTCAACAATAATTGTATTACGGTGTACATCTTCAACATTTAGCTTTGGAAAAGAAAGAAAAATAATTTTCTGATATTACATGTAAAGTTGATAAGGCTGCACTAGACATGTAACTATAGTACATGTACTTTGAAGTTAATTCTGGGAAGATTTTGACTGTTTTGATGATGGTGAAACAACCATTCATATGAGGCATATACCAGTCAAATGCTCCGTTGAATATCTAAGTAATGGGAGATGATAAAGTAGAAATATTAACTTACCACAGTGGCGTTTCTTTGATGGTGAAGTTCTGAAGACAACATGAGGATGATGTAGCTAGAAATAAAAATATTCTGAATAAACAAGATTTCCTTTGATTTTAAAGCAAGCAAAATCAACGAGATAAGATGTGTGAAATCTTTGCTGTGGTTAAATATTATCTCCAAAGAAAACTTCAATCCAAATATTCCTTTCAGCCACTTGTGAAAAAAGGCTTTAGGTTGATGTAGAATCCAAGCTAACCTTTGGGATTAACAAGCTAACCACATTTTTGTAACTTGTTTTGAAATATAATATCATCTGGGTTGCATAATCAGATCGGAAATTCCCCAATAGTCTTCTTTGATTTAAGCTGGGTGGAGTGCTACATTGAAACTTTAAAGGTACCATATAAAGTTTAAACCACTTTATATTATATACTGTCTTACACAAAAAAGGTCTTTCAAAAAAGTTTCTATTAGTATTTCCAAATTTAGTCATGAAAAGTCATACTTGAATAATTGAACTTATATTTTCAAACTTTGCATTGGGCCTTTAAAACTTGAATGGAAGACTGCTATGTATTCAACTTACTGTGTCTCTCCCACTTGGTAGAGGTAGAATGATGAAGGTCTCATCATCAATCTGAAGGAGGCCTCTGATTCCCTTACATGTACTCAATGCTACATGGGATATATTAACCTTCTTCACTTTACCATGGTAGTAACAATGCTCAACTCCCTAGAAATACACAGAGTAGATATATGTACATTAAACATAGTTACTGTAACGTGAGGTTTGGAATATTGGGTTTATCAAAAGGGAAATATTTATCTTATCAAGGGGCAGAATAGCATGGTTTACCCCCTCCCTGGCTGAAATGGGAAAATATAGAATAGCTAGCACCTGTATGATATACCATATATTTTCAGTTAATCTCCTACTAATATCTGTGATACATAATTAGTATGAGATATAAATCACATGAAGAATTCGCTCGAGTAAATACAGTATAGAAATCTGAGTATGAAAATATTACCTCAAATTTTTGGCAGGAAAGTTACCTTTTCAGTATTTGTTTCAAAAGTACCATAACATTTAATATGCAAATATAACCAAGAAGCTTTTTCAATAAATAATCAACATTTCTGTTATCGGGCATTTTAAGAATATCTGAATATTGATTTTTTAGATATATACTGATATAATTCTGTTTTTTAGTTTTCACTTTAAAGGAAAGGGAAGAAAATATTTGAGGCTTTAGTTTGACAGAAATAATATCCAGTGTCTGTTAGTTCTAATACTTGAGGATTTTGACTTGACAAAAAAAGAGACCAGTTGGGTCGGAAATCTTTAAAAGGCTATGCCCCCGCCTCCCCCCCCAAATAGCATTGGGCATGACAAGGGATCTACCAATAGGAATGTGTTCAAGCCTGAAACAGACAAAGCCATACTCCTTTACCAGTTTGATTTTCAACCTTCGTAATCCAAGATGGACAAAGACTGGAGAGTTGATTCCTTGCCAAGTTGCAGAGGTGATATGTAAACATTACAGATGGATCAGTTCTTGTTTGATTCTCATTAGCCATTGATCTATATACCAGCCCATTCTCTAGATATCACTCTAACTACAATTTCCCTACATCTTTTCTCTGGCAAATGCAATAAAATATCAGAAAATCTTTGATTTTCATTCAATTAGATATGTATACATCATGTTGTTTAGTTCGTTCCATGCTAATTCCACTCTTCTAAATCTACTTGTATTTATCACTAAAGCTTCACTGTATTTCCATGTCAAGGAAAGCACCTGTATTTCACCAGTAGCTAGGCAGTATGTGGAGTTATCCCAGACCCCTAGCTTTGATCTATTCCTGAGCCATATCAACAACTGAGAGGCAGAAAGATAACAAGCTCTTCCTACCCTTTATAAGACCCGAACTTCACTTCTACTCTATAAATCAGAGATTATTCTTTGAGCTACATGCAAACGTAATATACATGTACATGATAGTCATAAAATCATAAAATGACATTTTCTGCCTATCAGAAGCTAACATACCCATGAAACATTTGAGATCATTAAGATATGACAAACACTAGCCTTGCCCAAGTCAGTCTCTTTTACTTATCTTGATTTCTATTAACACCAAAACTGTAAAAATCATCTGCAAATATCAGAGGGTAGGATACTTAAGTAACGGGGATTTAGGGTAAGCTCTTGCCAGCTGACCCCAACTATAAATCTCACCCTGCCACCCTATCTTCTTAAAACTGCCACAGACAAACAGGGATTAGAGCCATTACTAATTATTAGCACATTAATTAGCAAAGAACTTATGTACATCATTTTGCAGAAATCTAAATCTTCGTACCTAAAGTTTGTAAACTGAAAACTGCAACTGACTAAAGTAACTGAAAGGGGAAGTGAAGAAATTATGTTTTTCTTCCACTGAAGTCTCTGACATTTTAACCTGTTTATATAAACCATGTCTCAACTTCAGGTAAACTTTAAATATGGTGAAGTTTATCTTGATAGTTGGTCATACTTTCTTCACAAACTAATGATCATGATAATGGAGAATAAACCCCCCCCTCCCCCAATTGTGAGGAAGGTGTGTTGTTGTAAGTTAGTACACGGTTGTTTTATCAAAGGGTTTAATGTAAGACTATTTAATTTCATTACTGTACATGTATTCAGCTCTCCAAATAAAATCCTGATCTGTAGAATGTGCTATTAATGCAGTTCCACATCTGGGCTTATTTTTCACTTGATATGAGTTGTTTGCATTTCTAAATAACAGAAATAATTCAGAAAATCACCTCATAACTCACAAGACAAGTAGGAGTTATTAGAAACTCTTCATCAGACATGAGAGAAAAATGGCAGCACTTGTTACAGTTCCCCAAGATATGAGCCTCTATAGCTCCTATCTTCTAAATTACATTCACCTGTGTTCACCTTACCTAACTATATTTTAGCAAAATACCATCCTTTATATCATTAATCATAAAAACACATTGTGCCTGCCAAAATCGTGTGGGTGAGTCAAAATAATTGGCACGATTTCCCCGTCACCATTATTCAAATTTTTTTGTTTTTTGAACAGTTGGAACAGCAAAGTGATTTCATTTTTATTTATGAACTAAAAAGCAAACCCATTTAGACCCATCAGGTTTTTTAGGTCTCCACTTTGTATAACAAAATTTTTGCAAATTGAGGGGGACTGGTAGGGTCCCAGAGACATGAATTTATTAGTTTAGTACATGTAAAGTTAAGCTTCTAAAATAATAACACTGAACTGTTGAAAGCTCCCCTTACTCATATATATTTTTCAGGTTAACATGTTTTCAAAAGATTCTATTTATTTATCTATCACAAATGTGATTGCCTCTCAGCTATTCTGATAGGTCAAGGTAATTATTCAGACAGGGAATTGAACATAAATAAATGAGCATGAAGATTAGACAGGGAAATTAGATAACTAACAACATATGTGAGGTACTTATGAGTTTATGAATTATTTACAACATTCTGAAATTATGAGGACAGAATTTCTACCTGATAACTTTCATTGTTTTTGAATCACAAATATAAGTAGCGTAGATACTCTTAAGTGGAACACATCTGTAAGTGGAACACCAGGTGGCACAGGTTTTTTAAAAGTCATGCGGCCTACTGACTTCATGTTAATGAACCTCTGTAAGTAGAACACCTCACAAGTGGAACACTTTTTTCGTGGTCCCAAGGACATTCCATGAACACACTACTGTATGACATTTATTATGTTTTGCCAGATAATCCCTTATAGTGACTAACTCAACATTAATAAGACTAAAAGCTCCATATAAGCAGAAATGAACACTATCTCATTAATTCTCCAGAATTCAGTGTCATAATATTAGAGGTAATACCATTAACACTGCCTGTGTTGTGTTACTATGCGCAATCTATTATAATTAGATGATGCTATATTGCTTAATGAGAACAGGCTGATGAGTCATTCCTCATAGAAGCAGAAGAGATGGTGAATAAAACTGTTCCATCATCATATGAGGACAAAAATCAATAATAGCAATCTTAGATTTAATACACACATCTATTTCTCAACATACGAGGGATATGGAATAGAATAACAAAATTGTTTCAGCTTTCAAATCTACACGGTTCAATTTCCTTCAGTAAACTTCAGTAATAGTTTCTAAATCAATCAAACGGCTTCAAAGGAAGGTTGAAACCCTGAGTAATGTTGATAAATGGAATTATAGTAGACCTCTGAACATGTGGCAATACTAATCCTCTTTTTCATTTCAATTAAGGAAATGTTCCAAGTAAGGTTTAAAAGGATCAATGTTAAATATATCAAAATCCAGTGACTAGTAAAGTAATTGGTGGATAAAGCTAATTTTCGAACTATTGAAAAGGGTTAAAATTTATATTATATTATAAATGTCCAAAATGTGTATGTACAAAATAAATATCTATGCCTCATATGTTTCTTAACTGGGGGCTTACTATATTCAAATGTTTATCATGCTGTCTAAATGCTGTCAAAATTCTCTACTGGGTACAAAGTGATATTCAAATCCTCCAACTGGATGCCAGGGTTTTGTCTTACTGGTAGCCAGTTGGAGCATCCTGCTAGGAAACCAAAGAAAACCACTAAAAACACGAAGCATTAATAATGATGACCTTTACCAGTTCTTTTCAGACCAAACAAACCCATATGTCCATTTAGATAACACATTCCCTGAAATACCTTTATAGTCTGTTTTTTTATTCTTAAATTCTGTTTCTATAGTTACTTATCTGTGTATCCGGCAGGGTTTGTAACAAGTTGAAAAGGATGTTCAGAGTTATTCCAAGTTAATGCTTAACATAGAAACAACAGAATGGATGTACAGTTATCTTATCCATTGTGAGCACCCATTAAATCTGCCGAAAATGTTCATATTTTAAAGTTTTAGTGCATGAAAGATATTTTTAGTATGGAAAAGTCATTAATGTTGCTCCTGAATTGTTCAACAGAGAAAGGATTTACTATTAGAGACATGTCTCCATATACAAGTTTTGCTGTTTTGCGGTATTTGATTTTTTCACTTGTAATCTGATTTATAAAGGCACTAAATGTAGAATGAGACATTCACCAGAAGCTTCATACTGACTGCTCTGATAAATAAAAAATAAATCAACAATTTACATCAAATGTTGCATTTACAGTTGACTTCATCATTAAATTGAAATGCAAGAAAATCACACGCTTGATCCTCAAAAAGTCTTGATAGATGAAATGATGAGAAAATCAAATCGAGTATCCCAAAGTAGACGAAATTGATGAATATGTAGAGTTTGGTTCACTATATATTTTTGTAAACAGTCTGTTTTGCTTCTTTCAAATGTTGTCCTTTGTATATTATCTCAGAAAATGTGTCATATAACCAATGACAAAGTGATATTTAAGCACAGATTGACTTCATTCAGTTCTACTTCAGTTAAACACGTCTGGAGGCATTGGCAAGCCATACACATCTATCTTAATTATGACAGCAAAAAGTTCCTACTGACACTAATTACCCTACATTTATCTGTAGATAGAATAAAATATATGATGGAGATTTCATAATGTTAGTGATGTTTATATACACAAGGCAAAAAGGACCCAACGTCTTTTTCCAACTTAACTTAACTAATCTGAGATATTTATATTAAATGTTCCGGAATATAGCAACAATTTACTAACCATAACATTTAAATTCTGGATATAATTTACTTTAAGATCAATAGTCTCTAAAGAGTCCAACCAACATATTGAGTTTATATATAAGGAATGCTATGAAAACAGCAAAAACAAGAACTATCAATATTTCACATCATCCTCAATTGTAATATTGCAAAGATCTGTTTTTAAAAATGCACAATTTATGATTAAAAGTACTTAAATTACCTTTTATTAGAAATTCAAAAATAATTTGAAAGATAAGTCTTTCCACAAATGTCACATAGCTGAGAAAATCAAGTTAAGATTTGACCATTTTAGACAAAAATGCATTTTCAAATTGTCTTAGAGAGTGACCAGATCAGCTTGACCTTCAATTTGTAACACATGTAATATATTTCATTCCAAATATGGAAAGTGTAAAAATAGAGCTGTCAATCAAATGTTGAAGTATTTCAATGAAACAGAATTTAAAGCTGATAGGAAGAATTGCCTTTCCATATCAGAAGATTAGGACTTGGAAAAGTGAACTTAAAATAATATAGTTAGATGAACACATTGAATATAGGTTATAGTGACCTTTGTGTAATAAAATAAATCATATAATTATATTTTTAGCAAAATGTGATAAATTGCAAGGCATAGGAATGTGATTAACACAATGATTATGGTAATGCGTTTAACCATAATGTGTTTCTTGCATAAAAATTAGGTATCTCATTTTCTAAAAGAATGATGTATGACATGTATGATTTGAAGCTATATCAATATATAGCTTTTCTATTGTTTTGGGTGTTCTATTACAAACATGAGTGAAATTCATTGGTTTTATGAAACTTCTTTTCTGGGTTTTTGAGTTATCAACCTTGGGAAAAATGACCTTGAAAACTGGTGTTAATACCCCAAATCCACTTTTATTTGGTACCTAAGATCAGATTTAACCATATTGCATCTCCTACTATTAAACATATTCATTCTGCCAATATAATGCCAACACACATAAATCAAAGTACTGGAGAAAACATATGATTTCCATATTCAAAATCCACTCTTATCAGTCGAAATGTTGAGGCATGCGCAGACCTTTATTTAGTGATATTTTCATTTCAAATATGGCGGCCAATCCGATGTCTGACGACCCTTACAAAGAATCTAGGCAGTTTGCATTTTTACCTCCTGTGAAATAACAAGTGGAATTTAGTAGTTGTTTTGTGTTTTATTATCATTCTGCATCGTAATTCTATGTGATGTGGTGTTGAAATGTCAGCAGAAATACATATCCATACGATAATCGAGTGAATCAGATAACAGATTTTTCGAAAACCCGTCTCGTGCTAAGAGTGTAAAAACTTGTATTAACATGCTCAAAAGTGCCAATGTGCACATCAATGTCAAGCTAAATCAATGTTGTGTCTAAAACAGGTACCCGATCTACTCAAAACAGCTTGTCATTGACGTATACAGGCTTAGCAAACACGGCGAAATGACCTGAATCTTGGAATTTCGTTCAAGAGCTAGTAATGTTTGCTCCGGTCTTCGTCATAAGTGTTCATCAGACTTCACGCATGCGCAGGAGAAAAACCATCAACCAATAAGGTTTATAAATCAATTTTGCGCATGCGCCTTACAACGGTAAACAAATTCGTATTTATAAACGAACCAGTTTGAGATAACCCGATATCAGTCGGAGAAATCTGACGATCTACGAAACTCACTTCAAAAAATCAAATGCGGACTGACGGCGTATTCTACTATGTTTGGATCTAAGATTTTCAGTATAGATAAAGTCTTTTATGATCTTTCGAATGAGGTAAGTCTCTAGTTCGAAAGACAATCGTATCAACTTGAACAAAAGTTGAGTTTTGACGAAAAATTTTAACATGCGCAGAAGTCCCATTTTCGTTGTACCATATTGACTGTTATTATATCATACTGGATGTAAGGCAATACCAGTCTGTGTTTATAGAGAAAATCAAGTCTGGTACGGTAGTAAACATGATATTACAAAGATGTAAAAAACATCCATAATGTACTAATATCTGAATATCATGCTACGCTTGGTAATTACATCAGAGCTCAGCTTCTGCAATACAATTAGTGAAATTCCCAGTAGTCGTTCCCACTGCAGCAGAACCTAATATGCTTTAGATGTAATATATGTACTTACCTCTCTAATAATTTGGTGTTCATCTTGAAAATATTTCTGCTTTAATACATGGGACAGTAAGCCACTGGAATAGAAAAGAATCCCAATCATTTCAATTCAATGTTCAAACATTAGAACATGGGAATATTTGTTCTGTACATGATATGATAGATTACGGTTATGAGATTTATCCATAATTATCATGGTGTCAAAATACGATTGGTTTTTCGCTTACAGACAAGATAATATCATGAAACTTATGCATTAACTGCCGATCACATTATGTGTGTTTGAAAAATAATAAAAAATTGTGCATAAATTGACATCATGATACAATTATATGTAGATTGACACCATGATACAATTATATGTAGATTGACATCATGACATAATTATACATGGATTGACATCATGACAAAATTATACATAGATTGACATCATGACACAATTATACATAGATTGACATCATGACAAAATTACATGTAGATTGACATCAAGATACAATTATGTGTAGATTGACATCAAGATACAACTATATGTAGAATGACATCAAGATACAATCATATGTAGATTGACATCACAATACAATTATATGGAGATTGACATTATGATACAATTATGCGTAGATTGACATCATAACACAATTATATGGAGATTGACATCATGATACAATTATGTGTAGATAAATACTATGATACCATGTTAATTAAGCAAAGATTAACATCATGATGACTTTACATACATATTTACATAGATTGACATTAAGATTATAACATATGCACATATTGATATCCTGTGTAGATTGACACTTACGTGTTGAGCTGTAGTTTAATCTTATGTTTCTTGCCAAACATGGGAAGCTGTAGGATTACATTCTCATAGTGGTCAGTCTGGAAATACAGATAATAGATACTTTTTCAGTTAACATTTGTTTATGTCAGCATCTTTATTTCTCTTATTTGTGAATTTAAAATGGCACAAATAAGTGCACTGTCACTTTCTACTGAGTTCAGGAGCAACTAAAGTAGTCTTGCTTCAAGATCCTGGACTATCTACTCTAACAACTGGGACCTTGTGAACCAAGATGAAATAAATGACTAAATATTGAAATGTTTAATGTTAGTTTGTTAAATCATCAAAATGACCTGAACAAGTTACTTTTTCAAACTTCTCTCACCAACATGCAATAAGGTCTTCAAAATGGTGGCAAGATAGTTTTCAAATTCTCAACTATGGGTATAATACGCAGTTGCCTTAAAACTAACAAGGTCACCGTTACCTTCAAATCAGAAAGTATTGAAAGGCCTGACATCACATGAAAGAGTTCTCAAATTTCCTGACTTATTGATGACTTGTCTATGCGATTACTCAAAAGCTATTTGCACATTTATATCTTTTATTTTTCAATGATGAATACATATTTAAAGTGATGGGTTTTCAATAGATTTTGTTTGACAGTGATAAAATTGACAACATCCACTCAAATCTTGTTTACATAGTCATTTTTCAGTCAGGTTATCTTTATTTTTTGTTTGATTTTCAAATTCACTTACTTTATGCCGACTCTTTTTGTCTCGAGTAGACAAACCGATATGTTCGCCATTTCTGCGAATCTGTGTTGGGAAGATAATCTCATATGGTTGAGTTAAAGAATCCAAAATAGGTTTGTTTAAATTATCATTTGTTATTTCCTCCATAGTTGGAGGTTCAGTGTCCACTATCTCTTTGGGTTCAACAGGTTCAGGGTCAACCTTTTCTTCACCATCAATCTCTTCATCATAAAGGTCATACCACGAGTCATCATCAGTGTCAACGTCTGTACCTGAAACCAGTTTATGTCAGTTTTTAAACCCCCTCCTTAAAATGGTATGAGTGCTATGTTTAAGTAGCTACTTTTATTTATTCATTTACTTATTTTGCTAGTGAGCCAGTATGCACCTTTAATAATGTTTTAAAAATTATCATTCAGATGGATCAATTTTTTTCAGTAATTGCATGTTTTGATGGTGATTTCTTAACCAATGATGATAAAAATATACCAAAGTGGTCGATAAGTCAGAAGAGATATCATCCGTTATATATTTTATTTGATTGCTCTCAGTGTTGGCTCAAACATTCTTTAAATTTTCAAATATTTTAGTAGAGGGAAAATGGAATTGCCTTGCATCAAGCACCTGTATGCCCCTCAACTAATCAAGAGATTTGAAGCGGGTCAAAAACTTGATGAAAGACTAAGGAATGAAAGTTACATAAGGGAGCAAAAGGTCCCAATGACCTAAATTCAACATGAGTTTTTATATTATAATTTTAATGAAGAACACTTGAAGTCGATGAAAATTATATTTTATGCATGAATATAATTTTCAGTTATGCAACATCAAAGTAATGTTAGTTTTCATAATACACAACCCCAAAAGCAAGTCATAAATCAAAACAACCCATCCACCACATATTAATTAACAAAGGCATAATTACGTTATGTTATTACAGGAAATAAGATAACATGCAGGAAAGAGTTTGGGGCAAAATTAGAGATATTCTTGTTCGTTGTAATAAGATGTATTAATAGACACAACTATGGATTTGGTACATCTTATTAATAGTAATTACAGGTTTAAAAATATTTCACATATTAAAAATAAATAAGATTTAAAGTAGAATGTTGCCTACAAGAAAGAGGGCTAACATGCAGTGTCTCCTGTAGGGGAAAGGGATTTCCACTCAGTTATGCTGTAAAGCTTAAGATTATAGAACTGCAATCAAGGTTTTATAAAATAACACTGTTTCCATATGCATCTTCCACAACCTATAGATTTTATTTAACGATAGCATATGAGCAAGAATAACAATAAATGTTCACATAGAAGTCATTCTTGCACGATGCCAAGCAACTTAAAGGAACAATACCATTAGTTGAATAATGTACTAAAATTCAATATTTTTAGATCTTCCAAATGTCCAGCTGGTTTGGTGAGTAAATTAGGTTGTGTTATCGTACTAGATGATAAATAAATAACTAGACCCATAACAGTTAGGCTATGAGATTGAACCATAATTTATTTAACAAACCATGAAAGCGATATCCTTTATGGTTTCTCAATTAAATCCCCATACCCAACAACTGACATAATTGTGTATAGCATAATCAAATATCCACAATATCATAATATACAACAGTATAAAGTATGTGTATTGTGGGTTCATTTTAACTGACAGGGCTACAGGCCACACCACCAGTTCCTTCCTGCTAGAAGCAATGGAAAGGATTAGGTTATGTGGCATGTATTTAGAGGATGTTGCATTTAGTACAGTCTTCAAGTTATCTGATGGTAGTGTTCCTTTGGGTGTTAGGCTGATAATAACCTAATTTAGGGCAAATCAGTTCAGCGTCTATTGGTTAATGCACTTAGTGAAGCATCTGCAACTCATTTATACCTGGCTTTTTATGCTTATTTTTGTTTCTTTGGTGATGGTTGTGCAACTTTTTACGATTTTTCCCTCGGTTTTTTATTGTATTATGGTCATGGCTACTAGATGGAGTGGTCATAGCATTTTCTAGTGATGTCATGGTTTTTTGTGCAGCAGGTTCTGATGATGTCATCACTATTTGTGCATCAGGAGAAGCCTCAGATATGTCACTCGTTAGAGTCACATCTATAGACAAACAAAACAACAACATCAAGCATAAAAAAATATTTTAAAAAGACAAGAGTTAAAAATAAAAACAGTAAAATAAAAATAATGAACAAGGAACCATTTTTAGAAAAGAAGTAACATAATTTTGTCGCAATTTCAATTCAAAATTACAGAGGATTTCTAAGAGTCATATGAGTTGTAAGTTAACAATGTTACCAAAAATGGACCCCAATAACTTGCATCAAATTAATAATAGTCACCCCTCCCATCCCTCAAACACCTACTCTAAAGCAACAACATGATAAAATATGTGTATTTCTGTGGGTATATATCTACAGAAAAAATAAGTAAGTATACATATTCATGAACTGCTTGTCCCGGCCCATCTGCATAATATTTAGATTATTATATAATAAGGATTAACATTGAGACTCTGAGAGGAGTTGAGGGATAGGATGTGAGCCACTCATTTGATGCAATACCAAACACATACTGTCACATATTGTAAAATGTGATGTCATAGGGAGTCCAATGTCACACAAAGCAGTCTAGTCGTAATAAAAAAATTATCAGAAAAAATCATTTATGAACTTCATTGTTATCCATACAAATAAAGTATCTTAGTATTGAACAAACCTACGTCAAGAAAACTTCATTTCTATGGAAACAAATGGGTTCACTAAAACTAGTCAACTTGACTAAGACATTTAGTACAGTAGAGACACACAAAGTGAAAGGACACATTGACATAAGATTCTAATGTAAATAATACTATACACACAAAATTCATGAAATGTTTGATTGTGCAAATAAAACTTGAAAAAATTGCTAAAAAGCATGTTTGTACATATATACTGCATAATAGTGAATAACATTGGCAAAGAGAATCCAAGGTAAATAATAAAGTTCATAAACAAGGCATATGAATACTGTGGAGCCCTGTGGAATACTATGGAATACTGTTATCAGAATATGAAACAAACAAAACTTTGGTGACTTCAGTATAAAATAGTTTTTAGTCAGTAAGATCCTATAAGATCCATTCCATTTTTATGCCAAAAAATTATTAAAAAACTCATCGCTTGTGTTTGCTCTTAGTCAGAAAAATCAATAGATGGAAAACAGTTTGTGTTCGCTAGCACTAGCATACAATGTACCGCACTGTCTAATACTAAACATCTTCTAAACCTCTAAGATTGCAATGAAAAATGCTTTCTCAGAACATCCAGGTCAAAGTATAGCCTAAGGAAAATCACATAGATCTAGTACGTCTCTGAATAAAATACTCTCAAATTAATGAGTTAGTACGGTGAATAGGCACGAACCATAAATTCTTTAGAAAAACACCAAAGCGAATCAAACTGTATGTGTTATTGACTATATGTCCCGACAACAGAATTCTGTTAGTTTTGATCAATGATACGAATTAGGAATATGCCTCAATGTAGAAAAACATGATTTATATTTTTGGGTGTTTGAGCATCTTCTATGAAAGCAGTTCCACAGATATTTATTTTGATGTAGTTCTTTTGAAGATCACATCAAGATATTTTCATAAAAAATATTTGGGATATGAATTTTGGTTCATTTTCTGACTTATGTTTAGAGGTGATGCCATGCTTAAAGGCATCAATGTGTAATAACATCATTAGTGTTTGAAAACATCAGTATGTACCGAATAACCAGGATCGGGCTATTCAAAGATGAATTCTAAGACCAAACACTAACTACCAATTACTTCCACATATGAATTCAAAGTTATCCTTTCTTATTTTATCAAAAATAATGTTATGGTGACCTGGATTTATACAGCACATTGTTTCATTTGAATAAAGCAAAAAGGTGTAAATAGTCATTTTGTGTACAATATTATTATTCGGCTTATTTTGAACTCATTCATCATACGGTCCAACACAATTTTTAACTTTTTACAACACGCTGACATTTCAATCTAAGCTTTGTTGTTATCTCTGTTTAATATGATTCATAAAAGCATGTATAAATTGATTTATCCATCCAATGTTTATATATCTCAAAAAATCATATTTTATTCTCTATGATATTTGGAGAAAATAATTCAAAAAATAATTCAAATAAGGATAAAAAACAAACAAACAAACTGCAAAGAAGACTTCATTTTGAATTTTGGATGATTTCTTCAGTTGTTTTGACAGATCTGGAAACTTCAGGAAATTCTACTAGAGAGTTACAAAGACAGATGGTGGAAGGAGATTGCCGAAAACCCAAAAAAGTGACAGCTAAATTCCTGTATTGATTAACCCCATTAGGCCTTCCAGCATATAGGACTGTAGTATGTGTACAGTACTATATTCTGGTTTGATGGACCCTATTATATAGTACAAGAAGGGAGCATGGTTTACCATACAGCTAACCATATGATTCAAATACCATAATGTCTCCGATTTTATAGATAACTCTATTGCCATATACAGACAAGAGTTTTGGGTAACCCAATTTTTTTTCTAAATATACAACTGAAAAAGTAGACATATAGTTCAATTTATCAATATAATGAACAAGATGCTCAGAGGTTTGATTTAAGACTAAGATCATTTTCTAAATCAGCCTCAGTTATACCCTGCCTCATGTGTATTAATTTTTTCATCATTTCTCCTTGTTTTAGAGATAGCTTCTAGCTATACTCATTTTAAAAGCCTCGTGTCACCAAATATAATTTTTATTGAAATCCCAGTTTCATGTCATTTAAATATATTGGCAATATGACTAAAAAAACATGAATTTTTAGTATGTTTCAATTTATCTGCCTGTTAGTAACCTCTTTTCTGGTTACTGCTTCTCTTGTGAGATTATATATATTTCTTTTATTGACAAAAGTGTCAAAGCATGACATATTAGTCTATGTACAATATCCTTGTCCTATTTCTTTATTCTCCGTATCTCCTAACCCAAAACCTTAATCCCAATATGATGCCTCATGATTTTGACTCCAGTTTTTTCCTCCCTTGTCCTTTCATAAACTCAACATCTTTCAGGCAGTGAGATATATTTTAAGATTGCAAGGCGTAAAAAGTGTTTTGGAGTTTGTTCCACATGTCAAAACAAGTTACAATGAGAATACTGTAAGGAATGGTAACATATTCATTTTTGTAGGTCTGGCATCTGGAAGCCTGTCAGTTCTATATATAGCTGGGATCTACAAATCATTTACATTTATAGCGTATAGTGACCACCTCTCTCATATGTCCTTCATACCTTATAATGATAGAGAGCAAATCTAGTATATTACTATAAACGATATTTTAACACTTTATTTTGAACCAGAAAATAACATGGACGGGACAGGTAGATCTATTGTGCAAAGCTTTTCAAATGTCTCAACTCACCTTCTTCTAAGGCCACTGTGTTGTGGCCTTCCTCCAAAGATATATTCCTGCATGAACAATTGGTCATGTCATAATCATAAAATTTGAAATCATATGTCCGCAATTTTTCCACATCACAATTTGAATTGTGAGTTTTGGTCTTATTACCTCACCAAAAATTTCAAAACACACATGAAGTGATCAGTGTATTAGTTCACATCTTCTGGATCGCTAACTTAGAATTTACAGCCAGTTACTAATGTCAGACGTTAACGACATTTCGTCCATTTTTCGAAAATCGCCATTTTTCTTGGAGCCATTTTGTTTTAATTTTAGACGAAATCCTGACGAAATCATGTCATATCTCATCAAGGAGTCGAGCCGGTTCCGTTTTAATTAATGATTTATTTATCTGGCAATTTTTAAAATATTCAATAAAGTTATGACACGGCGGCCAGCTTTTTTTCAAATGGAGTTCATAGTATTCCAGATAAAATCACCTCTAGCCAAGTATAGGCTAGAGACTCGAGTAAGTCTCAATAAAGATCTACCTTATTTTATAAGTGTGTTTATGAGAAGCAATGTTGGTTTGAATTTTTAAGACAACTTAATCACCACTCACATCTGTGAAAGTAATGAGTATTCCTCATCAGAATATTTAGAATTTAGCACACTACAGTGCTGGTATATATTAATTGATCAGTCGTTTAATTGGCATATTTTCTTGAATTTTAACATTTAATGTCCCAAACTCCCACAAACTGCAGAAAAGTATACACCATAAATCATATTTACCAAAATTAGTGTCTCCAAGGCTTCACACCAGCGTATGCATTATGCATTTGTCACGAGTTTGAGCTGAAAGTTCCCCAAAATGAAGTAGGCTAAGGGTAGTCTCTGCCAGGTTTGTTTATTGTGGTAAGCTTGTAAGTGCTCAGAAGCAAATAATTCACGTGCGCAAAAAATCAAATAATATGATTGGTTTAAACTTTGCTGCACATGCGCACAATGTGTGCCATATTTTTTCTAGTGATTTCGTTTCGTTTCATGGAGTTTCCGTTTCAGTGTAACTTCCGCAAAAATGGCTGACCATGGACAGAATTAACAGGTCAAATCACTTCGAAATTTCAAGAGAACTTTTTACCTATAATAGCAAAACGTTTGTTTTATTTGTGCATTCTATCTATCAGATAAGAGTCCCAGGGGTATGTAGGCAAATTCATTTTGGTAGGAGCACTCTGTTTAGTTTGAAAACGCACCCTTAATTATCATATATCAGCACTGTAGAATTTATTATTTTCAAAACTCTGAAAATTTCTAGCAGCAGCCCCACCCACAAAGTTCAGCCAAATATCTAAGTGTTTTCCATCAAACCCAATATAACTATGAGCGTGGGAGTTTATATGTAAATGAGATAAAAAGAATGAATTGTTTGAAATATCAGAATAAAGATCAAAAATCTGAGACATTTTTATTTTTTGTATTTTTGCAAAAACGTGAAGTTCAACTGGAATTTACCTTCATCTTCTGGCTCTGGTGTTGCCAGATTGCACTCCACGATTGCCAACACGACCAGCACAATCCACACTCGCATCTTGAGGGTAATAATCCGTGTATTTACATCCTTTTTTGAAGAAAAACTAACAAAGATAAATAGACAGATCTTCTTTTCTTTACTGAGTCAGCGAGCTAATGTTAATTGGAAATGTGAAGTTTCGTACTTTCGATTAGTCCCATGCATAAGTGACATCTATGATGCTGTATGTCACTCACCTTTTCAGTCATTCAGTTATGTATAGATGGCGAGTGGAAGTAATCTCTTCTTTTCAGATGCATTAGAGCGAAAATTAAAGGGAACATTCGTCTCTCTAGTGTGCCTTTACATTAATAATCTCAACACAGAGATGCCATGGAAGCGAGTAATTAGCGTCTATCATAATTGGCAAGATTGATCAGAGATTATACTGACCATGTACAAAACAAGTAACAAATGTAATAACCAAACTGATGACACTGTCAAACAAACAATGTACTAATTGAATACCATCATCTAATCCAATTGTCAGTGATAATTATTGTTTTTTTCTGGTAGTGGCTTGGACTTACAGAGGTCCGTGGATAAATCAAATTTATTGCAGTCAATGCAGACACACTTTGTCCAACCTCACTCTACCGAGCTGACTTAAAAGTCACGGACATTTTTTCATAAAAATCTTTTTGCAAAATATTTCGCCCGTACATCCTTAGGGCTCTTAGCACTAGGCTTACGTCAGTTACAGTAGCGGGAAATTTAAAATTAGGACTGGACGTTTTGACCTTTCATCGGGGATGCGGGCGGGAATGACACAGGTCATAGTAACTGACGGGGTTTTCCAGTGTGCCGTCCTACTGTTACATTGAGTCTGCACTGTTTTTACATACATATTAAAATATGTAATGCCATAATCAAACAAATGCATGCATTTAATATATTTGGTTGTGTAATGCCTTATTTTCCCTTTATCCCTTTGTCTAAAACTGGTACCCCGGGACTGGTGCCACGTAAGAGTAAACTCTTGGTGACTTGGTGTCACTTTATATCAAACGAACCAGTCTGTCGTCGATTTGTCTTTACACTGTTAATTAGACTTTTTAAGATGTCATGTACACTAATTATTCTTTGAAATAAAATCCTGTTAATAGATTCAGAAGCATTCACATAATAACTCAAATTATTTGGAGGGAATGTAATATTTGCTTTTTTGTTGAAGCCATGGGCTTTCAATGGTTGAAGCCCATCCTTCATATTTCATTTATCTAAACATTATCAATGCTTGCTACTCTGATTTTAGGATCGTTCTAGAATGACGTATGGGGTAGGATCGCCCGTCTTTGTCGTCAGCATAAACTCAGGGAAAGAAGGGTCCGTAAAGAACACTATAAATTGGTTAGGGGTGCTCGACCCCCCCCCCCATCCACACACAAAAGTGTTTTCATGCTTAACCAACTTCGCATTGTGACCACGTGGTTGTTATTAACAAGACACCAGGGGACCACGAAAACAAGGGGGACCCAAAAGTTTCCGCGCATGCACAGAAGAAAATAAGGGCCCAAATTTTGAAAAATGCCCAGTAATTCCTTCATGGTGTTAAAATGACTAGTTAGTTGATTGAGACGGAAAAAAATTCGAGCCAAAATATCATGGCCTGTAAAATAATAGCTTGTGAGTGATGTAGCCAGAGGGCATGCTCCCCCGGAAAATTTAGGAGTTTTGGGCTGATTTAGTGCGTTCTGAGCGATTCTAGGATCAAAATATATGATTTACGTATTTCAAAAAATTGAATTATTAGGCTTATTTGGCGCATCCTGAGCAATTCTGGTGCATTCTGATCGTTCTAGGGATCAAAATATATGATATACGTATTTTGAAAAATCGTATTTTAGGCTTATTTGACACGTTCTGAGCGATTCCAGGATCAAAATATATGATTTATTAAAAAATCAGTGGCATGCTCCCCTGAAAAAGTTAAGATTTTTCGGCTGATTTAGTGCGTTCTGGGAAATTCGAGGATCAAAATACATGATTTAGGTATTTACATTAAAATTGAATATTTAGGGTTATTTGGCACCTCCTGAGCGATTAAAGGATCAAAATATATGATTAATTTTCCCGAATCATTTATTTGCCTCGCTATTCTAGTCAATTTAGAATTTCATAAAAAGAAAGTGGCAATCACATCAAAATACACCGTACATGAATGTCACCAAATGTAACCTTCTACCTCGCACGAGCCCCCCCCCCCCCGCCCCCCATTCTGATACCCATTACATCTTTCTCCCTTCAACTAGAAATATCCTTCTAGAAGCTAATAGAATGCACACCCCCACTTCTTTAATACAAATGTTATCAGCTTCATTTTTTATGTACAGAAACTACAATCCATGGATGACAATGTGAGACTAAATTTTTTAAATATCACATTTTTTTTAGTATAGAGGTTGAAATCATTAAGCTTAATGAGGATGTGTACCAGCAACTTTTAGGTATGACTGCATCTTATGAGTGGTGTTTTGGAACTACGTTTAATGCAATCATACACAGTTGCTGTCTTATGATTTCTTGAGAATTGTCCAACAGAATTTTGTACAGTGTTAGGGGTGTTCTTAATCAGCAGCCAGGAATTTCAGTCATTTGTTTTTACTGGTGTTTTACCATTGCTGATTCTTCATTTTCCAAGTAAAATATCAAATGAGACTTTGATTTTACGTCTTCTTTTGAATTTCTTTCTGAATCTCTCATAAAATCTGAATGTATGACTTACACGTGACGGGTAAAGACAAAAACACTTAGAGACGAGAAAGTACCGAGACACGATGGATTGATTGATTTGATATGAAATGAAGAGTTATGTATCCGTTATGTTAAGGACGTATTTCACATTTTGTATTTTTGAAAATTTTATTGAAATATAGCATACATAACTTTATATTCCTTTGACACATAACTATGTGAATGGAAAACTTGAATGTTCGAAACAGGTTCAGCACGTTCATCCGCAACTCAGTTGGATCTCTGGTTGTGCATCTTTTTGTCTTGGTTGAGGAATCCCAAAAGATTTGTTTGTACGTTGTAAACATGGTGGAAATAACACTTTTAGTATGTGGAATCTAGATTTAATTAATCACGCGGTGAAAAACGTCTCAGATTCTTGTAAAACACTTTGATTGTACCGTGAAGTGTTTTGTAATTGTACTTAATACATTTTGTTAAGTGTTTATGATTTGATATAAAGTATGTTGAATACAAGAGTACAATAAGTATCTGTTACAATCACTTGCTCGTACGTGCTGTCAGTCAAGGTAAACTCCTCACACAATCGATTTGTTGTGTTTTGAAGAAACGAAATGATTATGTTCATTTTAATTCAACATACAAGTGATTCTGATATGAATATGTTTGACGATTTACTTTATTGGAAATTCCCATAAACAATATGTTCAAATGGAATTTGAAGACATGTGCATGTTCATTGTACCTCCTTGTGTTATGAAACACGTTCTCATATACGATTGACTGTGTAGTGGTAATCACGCGCCTAACCATTGACAATAGTGACAAAATATACGGGACTACATTTAAGCTGTTAAAATGTGATGTAGGTTTTAAAAGATTTATCCAAGGAATATGATGGACTATTTCATATTTAATTTCATGTGCTTCCTTTTAGCAAGACATTTAATTTTATATTACGTTCACAGTCAATAATTACGTTCACAGATTCTCGAGAATCTATTAACGTAATTAGAAAGTTTTGCCAAGAGCATGTACATGAAATTAAACATGAGATACTACTTAATATTTCTTAGATAAATCTTTTAAAACCTACATCACAATTTTTGCTTCAACCATGACACCGTACAGCTAAAGTGTACAACCGTATATTTTGTCACTGTACGTTGCCGATGGTTAGGGGTGAATCATGTTCATCTGAAACCACGAACACAATTATTGGCTGTGCCCCTTTCATGGCACTATGACAACAGATCTCAAGGTCATTTAGGCTATGGATTTCATTACTTGTTATAACTGAGGTCATGTGTCATTGCATCATGGATTTATTCCTCTGTAGAACAATATTTATGTTTGGTTGTGGTCTAAACATTTTATTGTGTCTTAGTTAAGTGGCGAACACCTTGATTGTGCTAGGAATGTTTTACTTTATGGCTGTGCACATTTTACAGAAATGTGTCTAAGTTGTGCCATGAACACTTTATGACTTGGTTGTCCTATGAACATTTTATGTGTAAGTCGTGCCATGGACACTTTATGACTTGGTTGTCCTTTGAATATTATATGTGTAAGTGGTGCCATGTTCATTTTATGACTTGGTTGTGCTATGGATATTTCATGTTTAAGTAGTGCCATGAACACTTCATGACTTGGTTGTGCTTAGGACATTTTTATGTCTAAGTCGTGCCATGAACACTTCATGACTTGGTTTTGCTATGGAGATTTTATGTCTAAGTCGTGCCATGAACACTTTATGACTTGGTTGTGGTATGAACATTTTATGTGCAATTCATGCTATGAACACATTATGACTTGGTCGTTCTATGAACATTTTCTGACTTGGTTGTGCTACAAACATTTTACATCTTACTTTATGGTGAACACTTTATGTCTTGATTGTGCTATGAAAAATTGTCCTGGTTTTGCTTTTGATGCTTTCACTTGTTTTTGAACACTTGGAACAATTTGATTTGATTGTAGTGATATAGAACTTAGCCTGTCTCAACGTTTCACACTAAATTTTGCATATCATCCTTTAGTGGGTGGGTGTCGAGAGGCATGACTTTTAAGTCAATAGTGCAAAAATCAAAATTGTTTTTGCCCTTTTTGGCTCACCATTGATTTGCCCATTCAGTTCTTAGTTTTTTTTATGTTGGAGAAACCAACTCTTTGTAGTCAAAATAGGAATAAGAAATCACCATTTGAGCCCATTGAACAGTGTCATTTTTTCATAAAGGTGTGTAAAGCAATCTAGCAGTTCATGAAATGTACATATTAAATCAACTGGCATATATGATTTTGCCATGAAATACTTTATGATAGTGCTAGATAGATTAATTCAGGCAATATATATGGAGTGTACCCTTCATTTTGTGTCAATATGAAATTCTCACATATTGTTCAATTTGTATTTTGCC